AAAAAAAACCTACGTAATAGACGTCGGGCGGGGGGGGTTAGGGGGGGGGTTATCCTCTATCCTCTAGTAAGTATCCGACACGCCGAGCAATGTCGGCGGACATCTAAGAGACCAAGGAAAGGAGTTGCCAGTCGCAAACCACCAAATCTGAAGGAATGTGGGGTTTTAAATCCACCTGGATCCACGGCTTCAGGGTTTTCTGCATTGTCTGGCACGAGGGCTCGGTCGGTGACCGTAAATCCCCTTTTAAAGGCGTCCACCATTGGAGAAATTTCGGGGCACGCCGGGTTTGGTTAAAGCGAAGCCGTGGATCGAGGCAGGCGGCGCCGGCGGAACAGCAAGTGCCGGTGACACTGCCGGAGCAGCACCTCGTGCAGGACCCCAGATCGAATTCGTGCAGACACGCATTTGGGTGTGGCTCAAAATGAGAGTGGCTCAAGAATAGGGGTCGAAATGTGAACCCTGGTAAATGGCTGGACTAAAGCCTGCGTAACTCCAGCGTTATTTTTTGAGCCACACCCAGATGTGAGAGCTGGGTTGGGCAGGGTTTTGTCTTTGTTTCCGTCGGGGGCCATTTTGAGTATACCATTTGTTGAGCCATTTGGTAACCGAATTGTTCTCCCTGAACAACTGGTGGACATCGAGCTACCGACAAGATATCCTGAAGTAAGATCCAAATTATGAAGAAAGCCGTCAAACCCATTCAAACCTGATGGTTGCTATTTCCCTTGGCCAGGCGACAGCTCCAGGGTTGCAACCATAGATCTCCTTTTTGGTTTGCGCTGGTTGAAACGCAGAGGGCGATTCCGGGTTACCACGTGGTTCAATCATTTACACCTATGGCTGCAACCCAGCCCCTTCCAGGTGATGCCCTGGGGCGTTTTCTCAGTACCAGGTATCCCAAATTGCTGATTTGGCTGGATTTGAAGCCCTTGTAAATGATATATGTATGAAAAACCACCTTCTTAAGCACCTCCAAGGTACAGTACCAGGTTTCACAAGGGAAGCTGAATTTAGAGGATGTCGATGTCACAGGATGTCACTTGAATGGGGTGTTTCGCTAAAGATTCGCTCGGATTTTTTCGTTCGGCCAGTGTTATGTGGGCTCGTTTTTTTGGAACGGGGTACGCTAAACCCATGCAAAGACCTGATTCCTGGCGGTTCGCTTGGGTTTCCAGTGGGCAGGGTCTAGCAGGCCCCGGGTTTCCAGCCGAGTTGACCACACTTTTTGCCCGAGGATGGGGAGCTTAAGACGTGCCCCTTGCGGACACAAGCCAACACGGGCGATCCTTTTGGGAAGCTACGATTGAACGCGTTTGCTGCGTGTATGGTGAGTTTCGTCACTTTCTTGGTGGGAACATGCAAGAGCCTGAAGTGGCCCTCCTGTAACCTGTCCATGATGCTTCGCGCCAGTGCTTTCAAGCAACCACAGAGCATGGACAAAAGGGCATCCTTGTTTGCTTCAGGTAAGCTTCTCGCATGTTGTCCCCACCACTGACTACTTGCCCAGTTTCCAGTGTATTGGAAGTTGGAAGTGTCTTTTTCGGTGGGTTGGCCTTCAACAACACAAGTTGCTTCCCTTCTTTTTCCATCTCCCCTCAGGTAACCGTTGCTCGCTGGTGTGGATTCCGGCGATTTGATGTTTTCTAGGTAGATAGCTTCAGCCATTAGAATACCTAGGTCGCCCAGTAGTGCCCTTTTACCCTTTTTTGGGGGAGGGTTCCCCTACTAAAATAGACTACAGAAAAAGGGTAGCCTTATTCTAACCTCTCTACTGACAACCTACACACCTGCACCCCGGAAAACGACAAACGCTGCACTCAAACCGGAGGAGCAGCAGGCCACTGGCAGCGTCAGGAACAGCCTCAGGCGGCAATCCGCTGATCAGCTTTACGCTTCAAGCCAGGGTTACCTAAACAAGATATGGGTGCAGTTGTGTGTGTGTGTTGTGTGTTTTTGTTCTTTGTTGTTGTGAGTTGTGTTTTTGTTTGTGTGCGTGTTCTTTCTTCTTCTTCTTTTGTGTGTGTGTGTGTGTGTGGTGTGTGGTGTGTGGTGTGTGGTGTGTGGTGTGTGTGTGTTTGTGTGGTGTGTGTGTGTGGTGTGTGTGTGTGGTGTGTGTGTGTGGTGTGTGTGTGTGTGTGTGGTGTGTGTGGTGTGTGTGTGTGTGTAGTGTGTGGGTGGTGTGTGTGTGTGTGTGTGTGTGTGTGTGTGTGTGTGTGTGTGTGTGTGTGTGTGTGTGTGTGTGTGTGTGTGTGTGTGTGTGTGTGCCGTCCTGGATCACGGACGATACAAACCCGGCGGGGGGCCACCGGGGACCAGGGGGGGGCGGTGGCCAACGAAGACCCCCCTCTGGTCCCGTGAAAACGTACCCGCTGTTGGTCCCTTTGTTTTTGTGATGTTGGGCCCCCAAAAGTCGCTGTCTGCTTCCTTTGTTGTTGATGCCAAGGGAAGCCAAGGGTTTCTTGCTGTCTTGTCTGCGAGTGAAGCCACTCGAGACAAGTGTGTATACCCACGGCCTGTCCGACATGGCGCCGTGGGCTGGACTCGCCATATGCGGGAGCCCCCTGCGAGGGGATGACGTTGAACAAGGCAGCTCTCATGAGGTATATCAGGCTCCGGCAGCTTCATTCGCATTGCACTGCCTGCATTTTGAACAAGGCAGCTCTCATGAGGTATCAGGCTCCGGCAGCTTCATGCGCGAGTGACAAGCCGGTCAGACACCGACTTTGCAGTTCATTGATTCACGCTCTGCGCTGACTCAGATCAGTTCAATTCACTTTCACGTTCATGCGATGCCTTGATGTGTGCTTGGGTTTTTTCGTCTTTGAAAATCTTTTGCTGTTGCCGCGGGGTTTTTGGCGGTCCCCTGGTGGAATTCCCTCTGTGTGGTTTTTTGTGTGCTCGGGTTTTTCGTCCTTGAAAATCTTTTGCTGTTGCTGCGGGTTTTTGGAGGTCCCCTGGTGGAATTCCCTCTGCTTGGTTTTGTGCGCCCGGTTTTTCGTCTTTGAAAATCTTTTGCTGTTGCCGCGGGGTTTTTGGCGGTCCCCTGGTGGAATTCCCTCTGTGTGGTTCGTGTCCGCCCCACCGGGGCTTTGTGTGTGTGTGCCGTCCTGGATCACGGACGATACAAACCCGGCGGGGGGCCACCGGGGACCAGGGGGGGCGGTGGCCAACGAAGACCCCCCTCTGGTCCCGTGAAAACGTACCCGCTGTTGGTCCCTTTGTTTTTGTGATGTTGGGTCCCCAAAAGTCGCTGTCTGCTTCCTTTGTTGTTGATGCCAAGGGAAGCCAAGGGTTTCTTGCTGTCTTGTCTGCGAGTGAACCACTGTGTGCGTGGGTGTGTGTGTGTGTGGTGTGTGTGCGTGCGTGCGTGCGTGCGTGCGTGCGTGCGTGCGCGTGTGCGCGTGTGCGCGCGCGCGTGCGCGCGTGTGGGCGCGTGGCGCGTGGGCGTGCGTGGCGTGCGGGCGCGTGGGCGCGTGGGCGCGTGGGCGCGTGGGCGCGTGGGCGCGTGTGCGCGTGTGCGCGTGTGCGCGTGTGCGCGTGTGCGCGTGTGCGCGTGTGCGCGTGTGCGCGTGTGCGCGTGTGCGCGTGTGCGCGTGTGTGCGCGTGTGCGTGTGTGTGTGTGTGTGTGTGGGTGTGTGTGTGGGTGGGTGTGTGTGTGTGTGCGTGTGTTTGTGTGTGTGCGTGTGTTTGTGTGTGTGTGTGCCTGCGTGTGCGTATGTGTGTGCGTGTGTGCGTGTGTTTGTGTTTGGTGTATGTGTGGTTGCTGTGTTGTGTTCTGCTTGTGCTGTGTTTATATAGTTGTGTTGAGTTGCGTTGTTTTGTAGTTGTGTGGTTGTGTGGTCGTGTCGTTGTATGATTGTGCGGTTGTGTGCTTTGTGTGTGTGAGTGTTTTTGATTGACGATACCCTTTTCGGAAGGATGTTAAAGGAAAGCCGTTGAGGGGAACCCACCATTTTGCGGGTCATATCCACATGTCTGTGTTGAACTGCTTCATTTGCTAGCGGATTTAGAGGGTGCTTGGGAAGAATATTCTTTTGGAATGCATCATTTGGAGAACCCTTTAAAGGCACCATGCTTTGAGGTTGGCAATGCCAGTGCACATTCTGTCGATTTGGGCTGATAAGACTATTTTTTAGACCCGTGCAATGTCCTCCCGATGAGTTCCTTTGATGGCACACGTCATGATTCTGATTGTTGCAACGACGTATTGCGCGGAAGCCAGGGGATGAATGGTTTGCTTTTGGGTTCGGAGCCCTTTCGGAGCCCTTCCCCCGCAGAGCGAGTCTCAAAATGGGCTTCGAACTGGCCAGTTGGGAACAGCGAAGCCAGGAAACCAACCATGGGGGGCCATCGAATTATTTCTTTGAGAAATACCCATTGCCATTTACATCCCGCTAATCTCCCTCTTTAGGCTACGGTGGCCTGATCGGCTTTGCAGCAAGCCAAAAACGATGCCCCAAAGTTGGCCCCAAAGAAGGTGGCAAAATGGACAGGGGTCCCTTAATTTTCCTTTCGGAGGCCTTGGAAGCCGCGAAAATATGATCAACCTTATATGGGGAGTTCCAGGCATTCTCGACCCCTGCAAGTGACCACGCCCGTGTAATCACCAGCTCCAACTGGAGACGAAGTCTATCTCTAAGGAGGAACATTCGGGCCCCCCCTACTCGCCAGAATGGTTTGATGACAGCTCTTCGATCAGAACCCCTTCTGAGACGGTTCTACCTTTCCTGGGTTAGGCGGAGGCCGTTATGTCCGAAGAAATGCTGGTTTTTGATACATCGCAGGGTGTCAGTCAAAGGCAAGCCAAAAAGGAAATCAAACTACAGATCCCCGTGGTGAATGGTATCCAACACGTCTAACCGGCTCTCTGAACCTTCGATATTTGGAGAGGAGCTGGCTTCGGACTTCAATGCTGAAAGCCCCTCAAAATCAAAGCACAACTCAAAGGCACACACAAAGACTCTGACTTCATGGGGGCTGGAGGAGCCCACATAAGCCCTTATTATGCCCCTAATAAGGCCTTATTTAGGGCTTATTGGGGCTCCCTCCCCCCCCCTCCCTCCCCCCCCAGCCCCTATGATGACTGAGCAGTGCCTAACAAAAACCGCTTGGCCATTTTAGCGGGTGTCGTCGGCGGGTAGACTTTGGGTAGTCGGCATTCAGGAGGCCTTTTAGACCTTTGACTTTGGCTTCATTTGGCCCAAGCCTTGGGACAACCCCTACCAACCCGTCTCATGGGGTCTTCTTGACTGCTATTGGGTTGGATCTTTAGACTTTAACTTTTTGGGACATAAAGGTGTTTTCCACTAAACCCCCCAAACAGTTGTCAACTTTTTGCGGGGGGGTCAACAGCAACCAAGTCTTGGATGATGAACAGATGTGGGAACTCTCTGAGTTGGGGGTCTTTCAGAGTTCCGCACAGGATGCATCAAACCACCAGATTCACAAGAGGCTCCTCCAAGTGAGCTGGTGGATGTGAAAAGCTCGAGAGGGCCCAGTTGTTCATGCTTTTGACCAGCCCGTGAATTTCAACACGACCAACATGCTAAAGGGCACTCCTGCCTTTCCTTCTGTGTCTTGCCAGCTCGGTGAACAGCATTCAGTTTCCGCAGCGCCAGCTGGGGAGCCCCAGAGGGTTGCAGAGGCTCTGCTTCAGTGGACTTCGGTTGGCCAAACCCGGTGAGGCCCTACCGCAAGATGTGTTCATCGCAATGTGTCGATTAAAGCGACCTGCGAGCAGAAGAGAATGCTGCAAACTTCGAACAGGTAGATACATGGGAGGTCGGGTTGTGCAGAAGTTCGTTGCCCACTGCATTGAACCGGAGACGGGGCCTGTCTTTTGCAGTTCCCAAATCATCCGCACACTATGGTTTCCGGCGGGTAGCGCTGGGTGCACACCATATGCTACAAATAAAGGCATAGTTCTTAATGAACCATCTGTAGTTGCAACTATCAGAATAGATGGGCAAGAAAAACCATATGCGTTTGGCAGCAGAGCAAAAATGATGCTTGGGCGAACACCAAATAGCATACAAGCTAAAAGACCATTGAAAGATGGTGTAATAGCAGACTTCAAAGCGGCAGAAGAAATGCTAAAATATGTTATTAACGCTGTACATAAAAACAAGCTTTTTGCAAATCCCACAATAGTAATATGCGTCCCATCAGGCTCTACTCCCGTACAGGTGTTTTCCTCAAGAACAACCGTAGCCCTCGCCGCCCATTTGCTCCTTTAGCATCCGGTGCAGCAGATGATACTGTCACAGCAAGTTACACTTCGACATCCATGGTTTGTTCGAAGCACAACCAAGCTGCAGTTCGTGTTTTTGGCCAATTGGCAAGTGTCAGCATTAGTGCATGCAGTCAACAAATTTGCTATCCACCCCCTTCCATTTCCACCACCACCCCCAACCCTCCATCTCCTATCTGCATCAGCCCCGCTTTATTTCACCATGCAACTTTCAAGGAAGGTGTAAGATGAAACATTCCCAAATTAGCAGGCGCCTGTCAGCGTTGCCAGCTTCATGAATAGGGCGAGTCATCAACGGAGTCCTTTTTTTGGTGAGTTTTAATAGAACTAGATGTCCCTGGTTTTGCGGTCTTATGAAGAGGGCTATCTATTTTTCCAAAAGGACGCCTATGATCAACCCATACCCACCAACGAAACGTTCGAAGCCTTGGATCAGAAGTTCCTTGAAGGCTCTGAGACCTGCGTGGCAGCGGGAGGGCAAATCTTTTGCCCAAGTCCCACGAAACGCCCCCTGCCCAAAAAGAAGAAGCACACACTGCGAGGCAGCAAGGGAGGCCCTTGGTGTGCTTGCAACAGGGAATTTGCTGTAAAGGGGCAAGGTACTTAGCAAGTGGTTAGTAAGCCTGGTTGTAACCTACTTAGGAGACTTATAACCATGATAAGTGGGTCATAACCATGGTTATTCCTTACTTACCAAGTACCCTGCCCCTTTAAGTATGGTTCCCCTCGTCGAGTTGGCTCCAAGTTCGATCGGGGACATGGGGGCTCACGAAGACTCACGCTTTCGCAGAGAAGCTCGGGGACTCACAACTAGGGGACCAGGGGACTAGCGAATCACACACCACACTGAAGACTTACGATTTGTCCCATGTGCTTTTGGGGTGTGCGTGTTTTTCGGCAAACCAAAGGAAGACCGAAGACAAGTGAGGGGTCCAAATCTGTCCCTCGAAAGCTTCCCCAAGGGTACCCTCAAGACACTTTTTTGGATGAGTTAGTTAGACATGTTTTCGGATGTATCTAGCTAGACAGGTACTTACTGATCGAGGTGGATGTTCAAGGGTGTGGTTCTTTTTGATGCTCTTGTGTGATTCCGTTGCGCCAATTGTTGCATTTTGACTTTCCCCAGTTGCCCAGTGGTGCCCTTTTTCCTTTTTGTGGGAAGGGCTCCCTTTCCCTTGAACACCCCCCAGACGCGGGAAAAAGACGCAGACGCCATGTCTGTTGAATCGGCTTTGATCGAGAACAACGGGCCCGAGCAAGGCGCCGAAGCAGCGCGCGTGCGCCGGCCCATATGCCCTGGGGCCACGGGCGCCTCAGCGAGTTTTTTGTGGCCAACTGCCCGTGCCTTTCACGTTGGCCCGTGTCTGAATCCACCGTCAGGGTGGCACTGTGGAGGACGAAATCCTGCACCACCGAGCAAACCCTGAAAGGAAGATTCGCCTGTAACTGCCAGCAAACGTCAGGTGGTGCAGGATTTCGTCCGAGTTGATGGGGGGGGGGAGGGGATCCCTGCGGAAGCCTTTTCAACCCCCCCATGCTACTGGGGCTCTGTACATTGAGGATGTGTCAGGGTCCGGAGAAACAAAGCCGAAAAAGCAGGGAACCTCTGCAAGTTGGCGAGCTGTGTGTTGTGGTTTCCGAAAACCCCATATATCTTCCTGGGGCCCCAAAACACTGTTGTTTTTTTGGTCAAAAGGCTTTGCCCGAAACAAAGTGGTCATACGGCCAAATACGTGTTCCTTGACTTTTTTTCAATATTTGATCGACAAAATACGGGTTTTATGCGGCCAAATACGGGCAACTCTGGCAAATGACCGAAAAAACCAACCTTTCGGGTAAAAACAGGCCAACTATGCAGTTTGACCGCAAAAAAAGTGGCGTTCGGGGCTCCAGGTTGGTAGAGAGAGTGCCCTTTTCACAGGTTCAAAGGTACAGAAGGAAGATTGAAAAACCTAGGTTTGGGGTCTCGTATTTTGACACCCCAAACCGTTGGTTCATGAAATCCTGTCCCATTTGAGAGGGATCCCATCATGAGATCAGAACCCCTCTTCTAATTGCCAGGTTGATTGATCCGGGGTCAAGGTTTTTCTGGTTTTCTTTTTCCCCCAACAGCTGACAGCTAAGGGGTCTCAGCCCAGATAAGGTTTGGGGGTGGCTCGGGGGAGCTCTGGAGTCAGGATCGAGCAAGGTTCCGGAGGTTCCGGGGTGGTCCGGTGCAGGCCAGGTATGAGGTTCAAGGAAGGTTCCGGGCACCTGACCTGCACCAGAGCACCCCGAATCCTCCGGAACCTTCCTTGAACCTTACACCTGGCCTGCACCGGACCACCCCGGAACCTCCAGAGCCTTCCTTGAACCTTGCACCTGGCCTGCGCCAGACCACCAAGGTGAAGAACTGAAGTCCTAGACTTTTAGCGCCTAGCTGTTGGAGATACCACCTGAGCTTATTTTGGGGTGGACATATCCTTTCAGACGTTGCCTTGCACCCACCAAAAAGGCCCTTGAGAGGAAAACGATCTTGCAGGGACCCCAGTCAGGTTCAATGCTAGAAGGTGTTTGTTCATGTCAGTTTGCTGGAACATGGATTCAGATTCCACTGGTTTCAGTCTGGTTCGTTCATGATTTAACGTCAGGAAATGGATCACGGACATGGCAAATGTCCGCAGGCCACGGAAACCACAAAACGAGCAGAGGGACACGTCGATAGCCATGGATGGCCATACCACAAGTGAGATCTCCAGTGGTTCTGTTTCGAGGGATGCAAAAGCGCCCCAAACGCGGGGAACCCAGATTTCTTGGACAAAGGACAAGAGTGTAAGTGTTCCATCCGAAAGACACCCATGCACCAAATCGGAAGTCCGAAGCAACACTTTGAGGGAAGCTGCCGCCGATACGCGCCTGGGAACCGGAGCGCGGGGGAGTAGAATCCTGAAGGAGATGTTGTTGGTATATCATGGTACTGCGATTCCGCACAGAAGCACATGCTGTTGGGGTTTTGTTATTTTTGGCTGGTGTCCTTTGGGTGCTCCTTAACTTCCATTTGGTGAAGAATATGTGTTATTTCCCCCTGTTGGTTTTAAAGGGAATCTATCACTACTGGATGTTGTTTTTTGATTTTATCCAGGGAACTTAAGCAAATGGAGGTTAGCGACCAACCAACATATCAAATTCCAGCATTGTGAGAAACTCCCCGATTCGAATGGGTGCGTTGGGGTCAGGGTTGATGCAGTAACCCCATGAGAAGTGTGAGACGTCAACATGCTTTCCATGAAGGGATCGATGATCCTAAAACATCGTGTTTTCAGGGATGGCGACATCTGTTCGGGGGCTGTGGCAAACACAGCCCAAGTTTCCAGAGTGATCAAAACTGCTCATTGGCCTCTGATTGCAGTCCCCTTCCATTATCTCTTCCATTCTTGCAGCAAATGTCTCAAACATTGCTAGACTTCACCTGATTCACCCAAAGATGCGAGGCCATGCCCTTGCCAAGCATGCAGCATCCTAACCACCTCGATCTGAAGCCACTCGATTGAGGTCGCAGAGTTTGGCGACACAAAACTTCCAAGACGACGACGAGCGGCTCGGTCGCATGGCTACTGCATGTCTGACCTCCAGGCGTGCCTTCCTGGTTCCATGATGTCTCTCTTCCGGATGTTGAACGCCGAATTTTGTCAAACACATTGCTCGGGAATCGAGTGATTCATGCACAACAACTAGACCTCCAGTGGTTTCTGCCTTCTGTTTGGAGGCGGGTTGAGTAAAACAGGGTGCTAGCACTAATCCAAGTTTTCACTTCTAAGTCTCCGCTTGCCTCTGACCTTCCGCGCTGATGGCCCCCTGACCATCCGTGGCCCGAAAGAAGGTTCTCCCCATGGCCGGGAGGTTTGGCAACGTTCGCGTAGACATCACCGAGCCCTTTGCTGGATTGGTGCTGGAAAATACTTGAGTCCGTTGCTTTGGGGTGAAGCGTTGACCCATTCTTGGTATGTTATTCTACCAAGGGGGTCCATTGGTGGACACCATCACAGGATGTATCTCCATCAACATGTGAATCTCAAGGGCCTCCCTATAGGTTCCCGATAAACACATCACCGGCATTTGAGAGACCGTCAAAATCATCCAGCGGCAGCTTGGCTTTTGCCTTCTTCGCTTGGGTTCCTTCTGTCAAAATCCGTGGTTTTTGAAGAGGATGAAGATCTTGGAAGATCAACCCTTCTGGGTTGCAAGTCCCCTTCCAAGAGTTACGACCAAGTTTACTACCCTCCCACTATCATGGCACTTGTGGGGAGATACCTGGAAGATTCATTCCTTTTGCAGGGATTTTCTGTCAGGTGCCATGTTAGTGAGAGGAAGGGGTAACCTTTTAGCGATTCGTCCCCAAGTGGAGCCATGCGGATCTCTCCGTCTGAGAAACTCGAGGCTCCCGCCTAGCTCTGTGGCTATGGCCAGCGCCAGCGCTGAGCCGGATCCGGACGTGTGCCAGGAGCGTGCGAGTCGACGGATCGACGGATCGACGCGGCTCGCGAGACCTGGGTGGAACTGATGGCCAAATGGCTGTGGGTCAAAACCTATGGGATACCATTTTGGGGTAGGTGCACCACCCATTTTATTTTAGTTTAGTGGGGATTGGGATGTTCACTTGGGGTACGGGATTTTGACCCATGGCCAAATGAGACGTTTGGCCATCAACCCCTTCGTTAGGTTCAAGGCACCCCCAATGTCTTCAGAAGCCGCGAAAGGTCCATTGATTCCCTATACGAATTGGTGCAGATTTGTCCATACACGCAAGGAGCGCTAGGGTTCGAGGAGAACCATTCGATCAGACCCCCCCTCTTGCAAAGAACAATTCTTTGCCTGGGATTAGCTATTGCCCCACAACATGACAACATCACAAGGCGGTATTCTGGAAAAAGTACGCCCCTATTTCAAGCGGGAGCTACCGGAAATGGGCCGAAAAGCGCTCACTGAGTCTGAGGCCTGATGTTGAAGGAGCTGGATGCAGAGCCCGGTCAAAATCATGTATTCGCACCAGTAAAGTCTTCTACTTTAAAGGGGCAGGGTACTTGGTAAGTGAAAATAACCGTGGTTATAACCCGTTTACCATGGTTATATACATGTAACCAGGCTTACTAACCACTTACTAAGGACCCTGTCCCTTTTAAGAAGGTTCTAATTGAACCTTGCCGCTTTTGGGGGTGTGCAAGGGTGTTTGTTTCCTGGCCCTGTGTTCCCAATTTGTTACCGGCCCTCGACACCCCATGCGGAAAGAGGATCGGAGGATCGATCCGCAACGGCGGGCAATCCCCACCCCCCTGGCAAATTCTCGCTGAAACCTTTCTGTTGGCAAACGGAGAGTCCCCCCTTCCCCAGAATTGGTTTTTTTTGGGCTTTTTTGGGGCTCCCTTTGTTTTCCACTAACCAGGCAAAAATACTAGTTTTTTGTTGGGGTCCTAATTCCAGCCAAGCGCTGTGATGGAAGGTGCCAGGTTCTGCCTGCAAGCATTCCAAAGGTCGGCCTCTGGGAAACCAGAAGCAAACATTTGCAAAACTGCACTCCTGAAATCCTGAGCCCGGTTAAAGAGGGGCTCCGCTGGTGCAAAAAGGGTGTCTGCTTTGTTTGGTAGGTTGCGTTTGTTTTTTGGGGTGGGCGGTAAAGGGAGACCAGAGGCAAACCAGGCGTGGGGTTTCCCGTTACTTGGATGTTCATCCTGATTAGTATGTGGTTAGCGAGAGACAGACCATGTGCTGATGTTTCTGCGAAGGATTGTCATTTTCCCAGGATGTTTCTCTTTTTTGTTTCTCCTTGAACCACCCAAATCAGCCAGATCGCATTGCCATAGTGCCCCTTGTCCTTCGCATCCCTTGCATTTAGTTTTGTTTGACCTCCAGCGTGCCGCGCGACTCCAAACATGATTGCGTGTTTGCTATCGTAGATTCCTTCCATTTGCCGCAATGAACAGATATTTTTATCATTATTATTATTGTTATTGTTATTCTTATTGTTATTATTGTTGTGGTTATTATTATTATTGTTATTATTATTTGTGTTTCCCTTGCTGCCACTGCTGGAAATGTGTTCTCATGTTTTCCAGCGGGCCTAAGCAAATGCAAGATTCTTAAATCTTTCTGATTAATTCTGTGATAAGCTTCACTAGATTGGGGACTATCATGCACTTGAGGTGGAGGAGAAGCCAAGGTAGATGCAGGTTGCTTTTTGAAAGCAATCAAACTAGGGGGTTCCTTGTTCGCTTGGGCAGTGGTTTGGGGAGCACCGAATCACATTGAGGAAAGAGAACTGCGAAACCCCGGTATCTTATGCGTGACATGCTGATTCTCCGCTTGTTGGGCTGTGTATGAGTCGTTGACTTTAGGGAGAAGTTGCTGAGGGCGAAGGAAGCATTTTACACTGGCTGCATCATTGCCTCTGAATCAGTATGTGTTTCTTTTCCCGGGTACATTTTTCTTGTTTTGTTTTTTCTTCCGGGGAGCTTACAAGCCGAGGCCAAAGCAGCACACGCGCACACACACACACACACAGACACACAGAGACACACACAGACACGCGCATAGAGACACACACAGAGAGAAACAGGCGAGAGAAACAGAGAGACAGAGGGAGAGAGAGAGAGAGAGACACACACACAGAGACACACGCACACAAAGACACAACACACACACACAACGCCAAAACACACACACAAGCACCGACACAAAGACACACAGACACACAGACACATACACACACACACACACACACCTACACCCACCCACCCACCCACACCCCACGCACAAACACACACACATACACACACACACACCCACCCACCCACCCACCCACCCACCCACCCACCCACCCACCCACCCACCCACCCACCCACCCACCCACCCACGCACGCACGCACGCACGCGCACGCACGCACGCACGCACGCACGCACGCACGCACGCACGCACGCACGCACGCACGCACGCACGCACGCACGCACGCACGACACGCAGACACGCAGACACGCAGACACGCAGACACGCAGACACGCAGACACGCAGACACGCAGACACGCAGACACGCAGACACGCAGACACGCAGACACGCAGACACGCAGACACGCAGACACGCAGACACGCAGACACGCAGACACGCAGACACGCAGACACGCAGACACGCAGACACGCAGACACGCAGACACACAGACACACAGACACACAGACACACAGACACACAGACACACAGACACACACCCACACGCACACGCGTACGTGCGCACGCGCACGCACACGCGCACGCGCACGCGCACGCGCACGCACGCACACGCGCACGCGCACGCACGCATGCACTCACAAACGCAAACACAAACACAAGCACAAACACACACACAAACAAGCAAACACGCTATTTGGTGATTTTGAGACTCGGGGGCGTTTGCCAGGACGGCCCGCTGACATTGAGCACCCGGGTGGAGTACTCAGCCATGCCCAAGGACGCCGTGCAGAGGGTCTTTGGCTTGGTCACTGTGCAGGCCATTCCATTCGCGCAATCGATCGACTCGCCAAACCCTTTGCCCAAAACCCAATCCCGTTGGTCATTAAAGCTCTCACGTGGCCGATCTTTGTGTGACCCAACGCGCAGCCTGTTGTGTCCAGGTCGTTTCGGCAGGTGAGTTTTGCTACCTGGCTTCCATGTTGTTGCATCAAGCGCACTCAACAGTCACATCGATCGAAGTTCCAAGAGCCCTGCATGCATGTTTGCCAACGCAACGTTTTGTGCATTGGTCTCTTGGTGATTACTTGATTCCCAGCGTTACAGGCTAGAACCACCACACCGCGTCGATATATGTGGCTCAAGCGAATCCATCGTTGTCATTCGTGCTTGCCCATTCAGCCTTTGTAGATTTAGGAATTCATCATGGCCAAGAAGACAGCCATTGGGATTGACCTCGGCACAACCTATTCTTGCGTGGGTGTTTGGAAGAACGACGGGGTGGAGATCATTGCCAACGACCAGGGCAACCGAACCACGCCATCCTACGTTGCCTTCACAGATACTGAGCGTTTGATCGGAGACGCAGCGAAGAATCAGGTGGCCCGAAATCCTGAGAACACGGTCTTTGATGCCAAAAGATTGATTGGCCGCAAGTTTGCCGACCCCATTGTGCAGGCAGACATCAAGTTGTGGCCATTCAAGGTCATTGCAGGCCAGGGCGACAAGCCGATCATTGTGGTGAAGGTGGAAGGCGAGGAGAAGAAGTTCCCTGACATAAGCAAGAACAGTTTTGTTGTCGTTTGGGACCTTAGGAACTATCGGGGTTTGTTCATTGATGGCTGGTACTTCAACATATTGTTTTGGTTGAAGGCCAGGCTGGAGGTGATTTAGAGGCGATTTTCGGGCTCCCTCCGTGTTAGGGTGAGCCCATCACCGTAGAATCGACTGAGGTATCATCCAGAGGAAATCTCCTCCATGATTCTGCTGAAGATGAAGGAGACAGCCGAGGCCTACTTGGGCACCAAGGTGAATGATGCAGTCGTCACGGTGCCGGCCTACTTCAACGATTCTCAGCGCCAAGCCACCAAGGATGCGGGAACGATTTCCGGCATGAATGTGCTGCGCATCATCAACGAGCCCACTGCCGCAGCCATTGCATATGGCCTGGACAAGAAGGGCAGCGGTGAGAGGAACGTGCTCATCTACGACATGGGTGGCGGCACCTTCGATGTGTCGCTGCTGACCATTGAGGATGGCATCTTTGAGGTCAAGGCCACTGCAGGAGACACTCACTTGGGAGGTGAGGATTTTGACAATCGCGTGGTGGACTTCTGCATGCAGGACTTCAAGCGCAAGAACCGTGGAAAGGACTTGGCGGGCAACCAGCGAGCCATCCGCCGACTGCGCACGCAGTGTGAGCGTGCCAAGAGGACCCTGTCCTCATCCACGCAGGCCACCATTGAGATTGACTCCCTCTTTGAGGGCATTGACTACAGCTGCTCCTTGTCTCGGGCACGCTTTGAGGAGCTGTGCATGGACTACTTCCGCAACTCCATGGGCCCTGTGGAGAAGTGCCTCAAGGACTCGGGCATCGACAAGAAGAGCGTGCACGACGTCGTGCTGGTGGGTGGCTCCACGCGCATCCCCAAGGTGCAGTCTATGATCCAGGAGTTCTTCAACGGCAAGGAGCCAAACAGGTCCATCAACCCAGATGAGGCTGTGGCATATGGTGCGGCGGTGCAGGCAGCTATCCTGACCGGCGAGGGCTCATCCCAAGTGCAGGATCTCCTGCTTTTGGATGTGACGCCGCTCTCCATGGGCTTGGAGACCGCAGGTGGTGTGATGACCAAGTTGATTGAGCGCAACACAACTATCCCGACCAAGAAAGCTCAGACCTTCACGACCTATGCGGACAACCAGCCGGGTGTCTTGATCCAGGTCTTCGAGGGTGAGCGCGCCATGACCAAGGACAACAATCTGCTGGGCAAGTTCCACCTTGATGGCATTCCTCCGGCTCCCCGGGGCGTGCCGCAGATTGAGGTGACCTATGACATCGATGCCAACGGAATCTTGAACGTGAGCGCCTCCGACAAGTCCACTGGAAAGTCCAACCAGATCACCATCACCAACGAGAAGGGCCGACTGTCGCAGTCGGAGATTGATCGCATGGTGCAAGAGGCAGAGAAGTTCCGTGCCGAGGATGAGGCCATGTTTGGGTTACAGACTGAGCTATTTGGGCATGTGTGTTGCTGGCAAGCTTACCCATGTCTGTCATGTTTGTGCGGGCGTGTCATCTACCACGTTCTGCAGTTGGATACACGAGTACCGATGCTTATCATGTTTGATAGTACTGTTTGCATGAACCAACCGTGATGCGTCAGATAAGCAGGTGGCCCAAATACTATGTGTTTGTTGATTAAAGGGTTTTGATGAATCAACTTCTCAATTTGTCACTGTCAATGAGTGCACTTGATTGCCTACAGGCCAACAAGCAGAAGATTGAGGCCAAGAACGGCTTGGAGAATTACTGCTTCACCATGCGCAACACCTTGAACGAGGAGAAGCTGAAGGACAAGTTCGAGGGTGGTGACAAGGAGAAGATCGAGTCCGCGGTGCAAGAGACGCTGGACTGGCTGGACAAGAACCAGTTGGCTGAGAAGGACGAGTTTGAGGCCAAGCAGAAGGAGCTGGAGGGCGTTGTGAACCCCATCATGATGAAGGTGTACCAGGCTGCTGGCGGCGGTGGCATGCCGGAAGGTGGCATGCCAGGAGGTGGCATGGGTGGCGCCCCTGGCGGCAACAGCGGCCCGACTGTTGAGGAGGTGGACTAATTCAATGGCGTCAAGCACACAGTGTTTGAGTAGGTCCTGGAACACAGCTTTTCTTGCAAAGCTCCTTTGGGCAATTGGCAAATTGCCAACGCCCAGCAAAAACCACTGCATGGAAGAGAATGGTCGGAAACTGCGCTTGCACAGCGGTCGACTATTCAACAGGGTTTCCGTTGCAGCCCTAGTTTCGGGGGGTTGGCTTGGATGTCCCATTTGTGAATCCACCTCAAGATTCAAAGCCTCCAAAGAGGGATTAAATCCTTTCGAGGCCCGTATGTTTCCAGGGGGGTGCTTTGACCCACCTTTGGATCCACCTCAAAAGAATGGCCCCTTATTCCTTTCGGTTCCCCTTTAAATACCAAAAAAGGAGTCCGCATCCCGTATTGAGAAACTCGAGACAGGCAGGACTCAGAGGATTTTGCCGCAGGCAGGTGCCGCCGCCGGTGCCGCCGCCGCCACCAGCGAGCGCAAGCCCATGGATATTGCCGCTCGAATTCCAGGAATTCTTCCGTGGGCTGATCCCTGCTGACCGCTCTCGGCGTAATGTTGTAAACGATAAGGGCCTATGTTGTGTCCCTGGAAGCCATAGATGTTAAGCAGATTGTTGCTCATTGTTGAGCAAACAAGTCCGTGTGGAGGCAATGGAAAAAACACACATTGTTAAGCAAGACTTCCTTTTGGAGAAAAGCCCTCCTCAACTTGCGCTTCTCACACCAGCTTCCCGCCGAACCGGGCTCCCCTTCCATCCCATTCTGCGGCTCATCTCTCCCGAGGGTCGTCAGACCCGATGTTGCGACCCCGAAGCCGAGCGGTCCCCGAGCGGTCGGCGTTTACCTTGGCTCGGAAGTCCGAGCTTCTGCTCCGGAGAGGTGTTTTCAATGCCCTTCAGAGGTCGGAGTCCGGTTGGTGTTAAAAGGCTCAGTTGTTCAAAGCCGGCCTTTTGACCTTTTTTGGTTTTTTCGGGTTTTGGTCCATATTTAGTCATGGCCCCAAAAGGTTAACCTTTTAGTTGCAGGTCCTTTGGGCAACTGAGAAGGGGATCCCTTGACGGTAGCTTGAAGATATGGAGCCGGAGAAGAATCATGTGACATGTTTGTACGTGGAGAGGGTCAAGTCCTTTTGGTCTGGGAAAACATGAAAGGGAAGCCAAGCTTAGAGTACCGATTCCTATCTTGAGAGACTTTTGTTGGTTTCCGCCAGGTTTCTAATCAGGCCGACAAGCTTTGGGCGCCGTGCTTTTGGTGCGTTGGGTGCCTTTCTTGAGGTTGGTATGGGAAACCAAAAGGACAAAAGCCATTTTGAGGGTCCCCCTATTTGACACATGCCTATGCCAGTCTTGCGGTTCTAGCCAACATTCACAAATTTGGGCTGAGTGCACCAGAGCTGATAGGAGTGCATCTATTTGCAATTGATTGTGCCTCAGCATCGCGGTTCCGCAGGGGAATAGTCGCAACTATCTGCAGGTGGAGTCTTGCTCCCTGAGATTGATTTCCCTAGGGCGGCTTCTGTGAGTGAAGGGAAACAAAGGGACACCACCATTTCATCTTCTGAGGGGGCGGAGGGGTGGGGGGCGGGAAGGGGGTCCTTATTTGGAGGCAAGTAAGGGCCATGCCGGCCGCCTCTCTGCTGGGAGGGAGGAGGTTGCAGGATACGGTCGCCAGAGGTTTCCGCGGATGCCAGTTGAAGTGACAGACACGACTCTCTGGACAGTCGGGTTTCATCACCCAGATTCATCAAAGCGAGCAGGTGGTTTCATGCTGTGCCCTAGTTTTGACACATTCGCCTGGTCCTGCGCGTAGGGTCCAGGAGACTCCTGTGACTCCGAACACGGCCAGCGGCCAGTCGAACGGAGTCGCAACGTTTTGGCAGAGTCCAACTCATGGGGGGCCTTTTCGAATTTGGTTTTTCGAATTTGGGGGGGGGGCCAAGTTGGTGTTGGTTTTCCTTTTGGTTTCCCTAAGGCCCTTTGTTTCCTTGTGGTTTTCCTTGTTGGATTTCCCCTAAGTTGGTTTCCCAGCGAATCGTCGCCGTCACCGGACTCGCACCGTGCTCGAGGTGTGCGTGCTCGACGTCTCGGGCTCCATGGGCAGCCAGAACAAGATTGAGGATCTGAGCCTCGTCCATGGAACCGTTTTCCTAACCCATGCCAAGTGTCTGGGGTGCTGAGCCTCGTCTGTGTGTGTGTGTGTGTGCGGTTCCTTTTTTTTTGTCAGGGCACCCTGTTCGCCTTGTTTTTTTAGGGAAGCTAAAAGGAGAGCCACCACTTTGGGAATTTGGGGTCCTATGTCATACCCAGGTGGTTTCTTTTCTTTAGCTTTCTGAAACTTGTGCCCGGAGTTGCTGTTGGTTTTACATGGCACAGTCGGCCTCGAACAACCGAAGTCGCGTTCTGGACACTGAGCACACGTTGATGGAAGCAAATCGCAAGGACATGTGAGCAAACCACAACTGGCAGAATTCGGGGAGTCCATGGTTAGTTTGGGGACAACATGGGCCTACCAAAATGTCCTCTCAGGAATCAGGGGGGTCAAGACCACCCAATTTGTTCATGTCCTGCCGAGAGCTTCGTAATGTTGCCGTGGGGGCCGATTCCAACCACTAAAACCGATCGCCATTTCGCCGGGCCTTTAAGATGGTTTCCGGAAAGAACTTCGGATCCCTGGAAATGGACATGGAAGGTACCCACTAGACCCTCTGGTCCAAGCAAAGCCACCCAACGCCCAAAGCCAACGCCCACCCAAGCCAAGAATGGGGAAGGTACTTTGAATGTCGCCGTGGGGGAAAACCGATTCCCAAGCAGACCCAAACAAGGCGAGTGACGCTAAGACATGAGGGTCCAACAGGCAGCTCAGATGGCCTAGGTCCCCCAGCTTCCATTTGCTGAATATGTTATTTTCCCCTGTTGGTTTTAAAGGGAATCTACCCTCTCTCCCACTAACATGGCACCTCAGAACTGGTCCCTATAAGAGGAGATTGATCTTCCAGGTACCCTCCCACAGGTGCTATGTTAGTGGGAGGGAGGGTATCACTACTGGAAATATATTTTTTCCAGGGTTTTAACCGAAGCCAGTAGTGCCCTTTTACCCTTTTTGGGGGAAGGGTTCCCCTACTAAAATAGACTGCAGAAAAGAGTTGGTACCCTTACATATTCTAACCTCTCTACTGGAGGACCTAGTGGCACATTGCGTTGGTTGCCATGCGAAGAGTTGAGAGTCTAGTGCAGTCGCTGACAAACAGACATGGTCTAGTGGATTTCCCATCAAAAGAAAATTCGTTCGGAGGCTCTCCACGTTCGCATCCCGGAGCACTAGGAGAGTATGACTCACCTTTTTGGATTGGTCAAAGGGAAGCCAAGCCACAAACTAAGAGAAGGCGTTGGTCGGATGGATTGTTCAAACCAGGAGTCAATACGGCTTTGGAAAGGAACGCTTTGCGCCCTTTGTCCGTTAGCTGGCCAAACCCCGGACTCGGTGTGCCCTATTTGGGGGTTGCTCAAAATGATGGAACTCGTTGTGGTTGGTATTTGAAGGGAAGCCAAAAGGAAAAAGGAGCCCACTATTTGAAGAAACGGGTCTCTGCCTAATTTGTCTCGAGCTGCAGAAAGCGACCCATGCAAGCCGATTTGGGGATTCCGGAAGTGCCAAATTGCAGGACCCCCCCCCAATTTTCTTTGGAACCTCTTGAAGAGCGGGTATAGTTTGTGGATTCCTTTTTAGGAAACCCGATTTGTGTGTGTGTGTGTGTCTGTCTTTAAAATAGGATGGTTTTAAAGGGGAGCCAAAAACAGGGAAGCCACCTACCTGGGGCAGGGTCTAAACAATTTGTTGTGGCCTGTGCCATGTCTTTTTCCCCGAGGAGAAATGGTCAAACCTCTTATGGCCTGTACCATGTAAGAAAACCCGGGAGCACGGGTCAAGCTTCAAAAGCCAGCGCCCAAGTCCGCGGAAACCGAAGCCGCCGTCCGAGTCAACGCCGAAGTCGCGAAGCGTCGCCGGAAGCGTCGCCGAGGAAGGCGGCGGTGCGCTTCATCGTGGGGGAGGCCTTGCCGAAAGATCGCCTCAGCCTGGTGACCTTCAACTCCAGCCCCTCGGCCTCGGCCTCGAGCCAATTCGCTCGGCTCGGCGTTTTTGCGCGCCGCGTTGTGTTGGGCGGATAGGGCGGATGGGGGCGGATGGGCTGAGTAGGAGGGGGCTTCGAAAAAAAGGGGGAAGCAACCAAGGGAGGAGAGGTGTATATATATATATTCTCACTTCCTGAGTTCCTGGACTTTATACGTTTGCTTGGACCACTTTTTGTGGGCCATCTACTCAGGAAGCGAGTTTAATCTCTCCTGATTAACACGGAACCCAAGAAGCCATGATCTGTACCCGAGTTGTAACCCACAAAACCAGGAAGAGCCATGGGTTTGGTGGGTACTCTAATTTATCTAAGAAGGCTTGCATGGGAGTGATTAGAGGGCTCCTCAAACACATTTGGGGTCAATGTTGGGCCTACCCGTGTAGTCTCTCAGTTGTAGTATTGTTGTAGTATTGCCTTGTGCTTGGTACCTCTCCCTTCATCTTTTCTCCCCCTTGATCTTTTCAGACAACTTGAATGAATTGCCTACCCATCTACTAATCGCTAACCGACACCCGACAAACCATCACGAGCGATATATCACCTTTAGTGATCTAATACTATTGTCCCTTAGTAGCTAAAACGTCTAACTCTGCACGTGGCACTGGGACAAGCACCCCCCCCCTCTCCAACCACTGCTGTTTGGTCAGCACTTGGCTGCTGCATGATTTTAGCGGATTTGTTGGGTGAGAGGCGGGGCCCGTTGCTTTCTTGGAAAACGGAACCAAAAGAGCCCCCCAGAATTTGCGACCTCCAAGCCTGTGTGTTCTGATATTGGTTTCCCTTGAAAACCGAATCCAGGGAAGCAGCAACGAAAGATGGCTGAGTCTGTGTGTCTGTGATACCGTTTTATCAAGCTTGTTTTTTTTGGGATATTTCTGGGTTGTTGTTTGGTTTTTTTTGGGGGGGACATGTTGAACGGTTTGCTTTTGTTTTGGGGGGGGGGGGGGTTGGGTGGGGGTCCCGGACCTCCAACGACTCCACCGAACAGCTCCGCCAGTCGCTCATCCTCAGGCGCAGAGCGCCAGCTGCGGCTGCGGCGCATGGACCGGGAGGGCCAAGACGAGGCCACCGTGGCCACCCTGCGGATGCGCGCAGGCGGCCAGCGAGCGGCACGTCGGCCGGCACGTCGGCACGTCGGCACGGGGTCGTTTGGGGGCTTAAACGCCGTTGGGGGCGGTTGGGGGGGTTTTGGGGGGGGGTTTGGGAGAGGAGGGAAGGGCAGGCTGCTTTGCCTAGACCAAGGGTTCCTGAACTCCAAATGTTGAGGTTGTTTAAATGTTGAAAGACGTTTGCGGTCAAACGTGCCAATTTGGATCCCCGATAAGAAGAAGACCAACAAAAAGGGTGGAGCCAAAGAGAATAAAGCGCGTTTAGAACTTCCCCTTGCAAGGGTGCCATCAAGAGACGGCACATAGACATCTTTTAGAGAAATGCCAAAAAGGCGTCCTCAATACAGACACTCCTCAGGACTTGCGCATGAAGCAGGGGGAGCGTGCGTTTTTGAATGAAAATCCCGTGGATCAATCAACCCCTGGTTGATGCACGGGGCTTTGGGAGGAGATACCTAGGAGACAAGCTGTGCGGCCTGTAAAGCAATGTGGGCGCAGGCCTCCCGCACGATTTGGGGCTGGTGAAGTAGGCCACACCCCAACAGTCACTCCTATTGGGACGACTTTAGCGCTGGTCTGAAAGCTCATCATCCCTTGTTGCGTGCCCAACCACCAAACCCATGCTGGAACCCCAACCCCAACCGTTTTTGGGGCTCCAATTTACAACCAAATTCGTAGCCCGGGGTAGACGGCTGGGAGAAATTTGATGAGTACATGACAATCCTGGAAGTTGAAGGTATTTTCATTTGTTCGGATGGATACGCTGATATGTATACCCTGTTGATAGACCCCTGACAAATCTGTATTTGTGTCTATACATCTACATTGACATGTGTATGTGTATATATATGTATACACAACAGTCTTGCGAATACCGTCAAATTCTCTTGGGGCATGTTTTTTTTTTTTTTTTTGTGGGGAGGTACCACATATATATATATATATACAAGGGGAAATCAACAAAAAACTCAAACAATCCCAAAACGAATCCGCACCCCTTTGTAATGTATTTCCTGAAAGGGGGGGGGGCTTTCTGCATCCACCACCGTGAATCCCCCCCCCCGCCAGGAGGGGGCACCCGCATCGCACATGGCCTGGACCTCGGCTTGCAGGTGCTCGAGCAGAGGCTCGCTATGTCCGGTTCGTTGCTCGTGATAGCCAAGGGCTGTCCTCGGTGTGGTTCTTAGGGCATCCCCCTTTGCTTGCTCTCTGTGGAAGGACAAAATCCATTTCGCACCACCTAAGAAAGCCTGGAATGATTCGATTCCCCTGTAACTGCCAACAAACAACGGTTTCAACCAGGGATTCCAAGTGGTGCAGGATTTCGTCCATCCACGGTATGGACATGAGTTACTGAGTAAACTTTCAAGTGAAACAAAGCTAATGCATGTTCGTCTGGAGTGTAGCCTCCCAGCATGGAAGTGCGCAAACCTGCGGTTTCAAAGCAATGAGGGAGGCCACCCTTTTCTTGTTGGTTGAAAGGGAATGAGATCAACAGGACCCACCATTTTGGATTTTGGGATTCGCTATTCTGACACATACTCTTTTACTCCCCCCATGGACTCAATCGAATTTACCGCAAAAATCAGGGGATGTAGGGACTCGCAAATTGTCCATATCCTTTGGGGTAATGGTTGTGACCGCACATGGAACCCAAGAAGGTTTTTGTCCAGTCCCCATCAGGCTCATGCAACACGAAGGCTTTGGGGTTTCATGTCAACTTGCTGGCGTGTAATTGGTACCTAGACTCTCCATGACCCTTAAGCAATTGGGTCATTGCCCCAATTTAAGGGGTCATGACCCTTTTTTCTATGGGTCATGGAGACTCTAGGTACCTCTAAAATTGACACCTTTTTTCTTGTTCGAACGTTCAGCTTCACCAAGTATGGGGCAGACGCAGAAGCTAAAGAACATGACAAATCTGAGGTAGTGAAGCGTTGTTCTTTGCAAAGAGCGGATGGCCTCCATTGACACTCGCAGTTTGGAAAATGAGGGTGATTGCCGGTTGCTTAGCGGCGCGCTTGTCCTTCTTGTCCCATGTGTTCTTGTGTTTATCCCTTGTCAATACAACGAGTTCTCCTCTGACTGGCACGCGGTGTTTGCGACCGAGTCGATTTGCCACGGAGAGTGGCATGTGTGTCGCTTGCTTCACAGGCGTCAGCGCAACAAAGTGTCCGCCATTCTTCTGCTGACAGATGGCCAGGACTGGAACAGTGTCTCCGCTCGCTGGTCCAACCCCTTCAACATGTGCTTGTGGCTTAGGGGGATCAGAGGCTTGAATCGAGTTGTGTGCAGGGACAGGTCACATTTCACAAAGGAGGAAAAGAGAACCTGCGATTGATCAGGATCCTTCTGGGCTCAAAACAAAGACAATTGTTGCAAGTTAAAGTCCTATTCCTGGCAAGGACCAAAGCGGTTCTCCAAGTTTGTGTTTCCAGTTTAAAAACTGTCACCAACCCCTTCCATGACGCCCGACTTGAGTTGCACGAAACTGACTTCGAGACATAGCGCCGCAGCCCTCTCCCGTGCGTTCCGAAAAGGACAGGTTTGGGGGCCTGTCCAAACCTTGTCGACCTTGAAGGGAGGGGGACCACACGAATTTCCAGCACGAATTGCGTCATGTGCAAGGCAGCCCTGCGGGGCACACACTCGAAGCAACCCAATTCAAAGGTTGTTTTATGACTGGCTCACATGCATGCATTCAGGCCCTGCAGCAGCATTAGAGGTAGAGCCGGGATGTTTTCAGCTCTGGGGCAACTTGCTTGAAACCCGTGGAGAGGCGGCTTAAATAAAGCAGCAAGCTGTCATGCTTGCTGCAGCTCTTGCCCAACTCACCAAGAATCGACAACAGTGAGCTCACTGTCCCTCTCCTCTCACCAAAAGGAACCATGCGCACTGCAGCTGCAAGCAAGTAAGTCAACAAAAATGCGACCTTCTACACCAAAGTTTTCTTCGGATCGGAATCCTCCGCATGAGCTCGGGGTCCAATGGAGTTGAGCCAAAGACCTGGTGCAACCTTAGGTACTTTGCGGAGATGTTGACCCGTGCCCGCGGCAGGCCGCAAAAGAGTTCGGCGGGCTCAACCACTAAGCCTCAAAAGACTCGCAAAGGGCGGGAAAAAAGAAACAAAACAACAAAGACTGCAACCGAAACGCATCAAACGAAAACAAACGCAAATCCAAGCTAGGGGAATTTTGCAGATTTGGCGGGCCCAGGTTTGTTCATGTGAAATTTCACTGTGTATCTGGTCATCTAAATCAAAACGCAGACCATGTGAAAGATCCATTTGCTGTGATACTCTTGGGGAGCCCCCCTTCAACTGAGAACACAAACACAATGGGATGGAACTCGCCCACTTTGGTATCGCAAGCAGCCCCACTCAGCCACTCGGAAGATGTCTCAAACCCATAAAACAACAAGGTCGGACCTTGCCAGTTTGAGATTCGTTGCACCCCCAGTCTATGCGTCAAAACAGGGGGACCCCGCAAATGGTGTCCAAACCTGGTTTCACCGGAGAAACCCACAAGAAAGCAGCCTCAAAAACTAAAACGGTGTCCTGCAACTTCGATTCGGGGGGAACCCGACGCAGCCGTTTTGGGGCAAAGCCTTAGCTTCAAGGTTTGGGTTCCAGGCCCCCCTGTTTGGATCGTAGGCCTTAGGTCAGTCGGGTGGAAAATAAAGTAGATGACGCTGGCTGCAGGTTGGTTCCAATGATTTGCCGGTTCCATCTATGGTACAAAAAGGACACCTATATTTGGATCAGCATGGTGGTTGTTGGGCAACATGTTACATTTTTGCTTAGTGTGGTTTAGTGGGGAATCCCCACTGAACTGCTAAAATCGGAAAATGTTTGCTCCCCTTCCAGCGTCAACCAAGTCAGGGTGCACAAGCTTATACCTCTCCGGTTGGCTTCCTGTTGATTCTCCAAGAAAACCGGAGAATCTCATGCAGTCGATCCAACAAGAGCCCGAGAACGACCGCAAGCTCTGTCTCCCCGCCCCATGTTCGATTCAGAACAGCCATAACTATATAAGGTTGGTTTCAAGGGAAACCAAAAGGGACACCACCATTTGTGCCATAAATGGGTGGTGTCCCATAAATGATGGTGGAACCCTTTTGATTCCCCTTGAAACCAACCTTAAGGGTACGCCTGAGGAAACCCCCGTGGTTTGGACGCATTCCCCGCGAAAGCTCGCCGCAACCTCCAGCCTTGGCTTCGCGAAGGACGGCAGCTGCCGCAGCCAGCTGCCGCAACTGCTGCAGCGTGCGGGGAAGTTGGGCTGCGGGATCTATGCCTTTGGCTTTGGCGCCTTGCTGCAAAATGGGCCTGGGCCTCGCTTCTGCAAGTTGGAAAGGTAGAATTCACCGCCCAGACATCACCACGGAGAGCTTTCTGAAAGTTGGACCTGTAGATTTGTTTTTAGGCACCGCCCAGACACCACGGAGAAAGCAACACGATTTTCAGGTGATGCCTGGGCTGTGCCTGGGAATAGGAATCATTGCTTTTGGAGGGGACCGTCCGGCTATGACGTGGTTGATCAATCAGAGGTCCACATGATATGTGTCTGAAAAGAAATCGGAACTCTGGGTGGTGTTCCTTTTGGCTTCCCTTTGAACTAGCCTTCACAAGGCTACCCTCAAAAAGCAGAAACCGAGGTGACCCTAATTGAGTTCCTTTCGGCTGAACCCGGTTGGTGCCCAAGGGTACCCTCGGGAGAAAACACACAAACTCTAGAGTGCCGACAACTTGTCTGACGGGGTGGGGATAGCTTGCCCGAGCGTGCTAGGGCAGGCGGACAAAGTTGACATAAAGCAATCCGGGCCTGGCTTGCGGTGGATTGATCAAACCTAGTTGATCGCCCGAAACCCGCATTGCCTAATTTACTTGGTGAAGCTCTATTTTTTGATTGTTCGTGGGGTAAACAATGTCCGCCCTATGGTCCTTTAGCCGCATTGGTAAAACCAAAAGTTGAAACACATTTGGGGCGCTCAAATTTGGCTGAGCAAGAGGGGATTCGGTTCAAAAGCAGGAAGGCCTGGCTTGAGCGGAACACAGCTTCAGCTAGCACTCCGATACCCAGACGTCCAGTGGCGCCCCTTCTTCTTAACCTGTTTCTTTGAATCAACTCTTCTGGGACCTCTTTTGCCATGTTATGTTTTTTTCTGTCAGAAAATGGGCCAGAAACTCAGATTTGCAATTTTTGGGGGGAGAAAGCTGACAAATATGTTTGTTCTATTTGGGACCAGGGTTCCACTTTGTGTTTCCAACAAAATGCCAGCATCCTTTCCGAAGACTACGTGGGACGTACCCATCCATCAACATGTAGGCTTTAGCGCTTCGTTTTTTTTGGAGGGGGGGTGGCCGACCGTAGCTGTTTGGCGGGAGTACTTGCAACAATTGTAGCAAGGGAATAGTTGGTCTTCAAGGTGTACATTGGGATGCCGATATGTCGATTCTTGGTCAAAAATTCATGGGCCTTTGGTCAGGGGTCCCTATATTTCCCTTTTTGGTGGTTTTAAACATCACCTTGGCCCATGATATTGGTGAGGTTTTTTCTTGGTGGCGGTGATGTCTAAACGGGGAAATCACTCGGGAGCCAACTGTTGGTTGTGATGGGAATCAGCTGGGGGGCATCCGCTTGTGAGGGGAAACCTGTGAAGCAGTCCAAGTGGGCTTCCACCTTTCTGGGCTTCCCCCGTTTGCTCCACCTCTCATTTGGGAGAGGAACTAATTCCTTGCTTCCGAAAAGCCGAAAAACTGGCTGGTAGGCAATGTTGGGAATGAAGCAGGACACCACTTGGATGGTTTTCCTAGGGGGTCACTCCATTTTTCATTCCCTGCATCGAAATCGCAATCGCAAGCGGAACCAATCCGATCCAGGCAGGGATCACGACTCGGAGCTGCTGCGTGAGATCGGGGAGCAGGCGCGCACTCCTTTTACCTACGTGGAGGACCGCGACTCGAAAGAAGCCGCCTTCGGGGGACAACTGCACCAGTTGGAATGGATGAAACCCTAGAAATATGTACCTAGAGTCTCTATGACCCCTAGAAAAACAGAGAAAGGGCCCTTAAATTTGGGCAATGACCCCATTTTTTAAGGGTCATGGAGAGTCTAGGTAAGGAGAAACTACCACTCCCAAACTGGTGCGAAATGGATCTTAGTTGCCTTGAAGGTTGAGAAGATCTTCCTGCGGATGGGCGATTCGAAATTTTCTCTCCCAAAAGAGCGCGAAAGAGGAAAAGCCCTACAAGAGGGGCTTAGGTTTCCTACAAAAGGGGAACAACACGGATATACCCTTTTGGTTTGTCCCTACATCAACAGGGTAATTTAAAGGATACATTTGGGCCAATGAAAATTCATGTTTTCTGGTTTAGCGGATAGATCCTTGCAAAGGTGGTTTCTGCATGTATCCTTCTACCGAACCCGCACATGTTGACAGGTGCTCAAAAAGGACTTTTGGGATGTTTCCCTTTAAACCACCATTAGATTCAGATATGGCCCTACATCAAGGTGTTAAAACGTGCTTAATTCATGTCAAGGCTTGTTGCGCAACCCTTTTCAACCAACCAGCGGAAAAGTGATTTCCCTTTAAGCTAATATTTGGTTGTGTCTTTCTTTGTGGATACCCCGACTTTTGTGGCTTAGAAAAACTATAAAGACACCCCCCATTTCAGGGGGTCCAAAGAAAGACACCCATGAGGGTTTAACCTGGTTTCCTCTATTTCTCTTTAAAAGCTCCGACAGTGGCAGTTTCAATGTAAACCACCGGTTTGTTGGTTGCAACTTGTGACCCCTCTTTGGGTTTGGTCGCAAGGAACCTCCAAAATGGCCATCGTTTTTCCCCCCTTGAACCCTCTCTTGGGGTCCACTAGGAGGGTTGGTTTTTTGACGTTGGTTTCCCAACCGTGGGTTCCCATGGTGTCAAAGTGGTGCAAGATTTCGTCCATCCACAGTACTTGGAGGTTGTTTCATGTTTTGTTCCCTTGAGTTCCACTATGAATTCACGGGGTTTGTCCATCATTTCAAAATTTCCCAACTGCCAGTGGCCTTTCGCCTGTTGCTTCCTTTCCCCCCCCAAAACGCCGATGGGCGTTTCGGGGCAGGAGACTGCCCTGGTGCGGGAGGCCTTCGCGGGAGTGGTGGGGGGCCTGAGCAGCGTGGTGGCGCAGCAGGCGGGCGAAAGTGGAGCCTGGGGAGTTGGAGCCACGAGAAACATTGGGACGACCCCAAAGAGAAATATAGACCCCCCCTCAACCCCAGAATTAGAACCATAATATAATATATGTTAAGATTGCGTCATTATTGTTCATATTATGTTGGTTCTAATTGTATTTAACCTTTGTTGCAATTTGCAAATTCTGACGGGGTTGGATTGTAGTGCACGACAGCAGCGCAATCCAGTCACTTCCAAGAAAAGGGGGAAAAAAACCGGGGGGGTTGGATCCCCCAAGATTTTTTGAAAATTGGTGGTTGCTGGTGGTTTTCTGGTGGTTGTTCGAGTGACGCTAGGGATTTGGACGTAAAAATGGGATGTTTCCTTGTGGTGTCCCTTTTAAGCCGTCCAAAAAGGGCATTGGCGAATTGAGGAAACAAGCAGAAAGGGGGGCAGGGGACAACGGTGCTGCGACCCATGAACATGGGAGTTAATGCTGAAACATGTTCCATTGGCTCATGCATGGGCTGCCATATCTCTAGTAGATCTGTGTCTGAATATTCCAATTCTACAAAGAGGGCTTTGGAAGAAATCGTTGTTCTTTGTTTGAGGAGGGAACCCGTTTTAGATCAACCAAGAAAAACGCATGATGCCGCGACACCCTTGTTTACTTTTCGGGGCGAAAAACCCTTGAAATCACCTCACACAACAAATCGTTCCCTTTCTTCTCACACCTGGAGTCTCATCATGACCCTTCAAAAATGGCCCAAAAGAACGGGTCATGACCCCAGTTTTTGCAGGTTATGGAGACGGGTAGAAATCCAGGGGGGGCCTTTGCCGGAAGTTCCTTGGGCCGAATCATTCGAAGCGCGGATTCGAATCCGCGCTTTTTGTGGCAGGTGCAGCTCAGCCTGCGGTGCCAGGTGCAACTCAAGGAGAGACGCCGAAAACCCCGAAAACGAGAAGCCGACCAAGCAGGGAGCGTGTGGCACCACGAGAACCGCGTGGAACTGCAGTCAACTTCACGCAATGAGCTGTGTCAACATTGGGGACCGGCAAACAGTTGATTACTCAACCAGTGGCCTTTCGCTTGATTCATATACTCAACCAGTGGTTTTTTGGTTGATACATATACTCAACCAGCGTATACTCAGCCAGTGGTTTTTAGGTTGACTTCTTCACATGGGTGTGCCCTTTTTGGTTGGGGATCCGGATCACAGGAACACTTCTCGGCAAGGTCTTCCATTGCAAATTGCTCAAGTAGGAGCAAATACCCCGCTGGTGCGTCACGTTTTTGAGGATAGCCTTGTTGAGATTGCTTTGATGGGAAGCCTAAGCGCAAACGGGTTCTATTTGGGAGGCTCCCCTTCATTTGGAGACAACCGCAAAGGAGGAGCATGCCGATGTTATGTTCGGCCGGCGGCAGGTCTGCAGATGCAGCCAGTCCGTCATCATCGTGGTGTCGGTAAGCCTAGAACATGACACGCCGCTCATGATTTCTTCAGCAAGTCTCCATTTACCCACTGCCCGTTGCGGTGGAGTTTGATTGACCTTGGTTGCAGTTTTATTTCGGGTGGGGTGGCAATGGTGGTTCCCCCCACACTCATCACTCACATGGGGGCTGTGAAGATAGCAAGTGTGGCATGTTGCCGAAGGATGGAATTCAGGGTCAGGTTACTGAAGCCGAGTTTGCAACCCACCCCTGGGCATGTGTGTGTGTGTGTGTGTGCTTGTGTGTTGATCAAAAGGTCCTTTACATGGGATGACCACTGGGGGAAGCCACTAAAATGATGATATTTCAACTACTAAACAGGAAAAGTTACCCATACTCAACACTGTTCCCCTAAAGGGAATATGGATCAACCAAGCCCAACACCCCCTGCCAGCAGTCCCATCCTTTGCTTTCCCTTTACAGGGAAAAAAGGGGGGTACGTAATAGAAGGGGCTTAATAATTAAAAATGGGTTGGTGGTGGGGTCCTTTAAAACCATATTTTGTCATGACCATAAAGGAATCATGCATTGTTATTTAGCCCCGTATCTTCTTCCAAAAGCAAAATTACAAGGGATGGGTGTTAGTTTCAATAGGTTTTCCAGACCCTCAATTCAATCTCCAGATTCACCCCCTACTGTGGATCGGCATTGTTTGTTGGCAATTGCAGGTGAATCAAACCATTCCAGGAATTCTTAGGTGGTGCGAACAGATTTCGTCCACAGCATTCCAGGGGATGGGTATTTTTTTCTTACCTTCGGATTGACCGATTCCCGATTCCCGATTTATATTTTTTTCGCCAGGAGGTGAACACGCCTTTCCAAGTGCAGCGGGAGGGGGAGTCCGTTGCCACCGTCACCATCCCGGATATCTTCGCGGAAGAGCGCCGCGACATCCTCGTTGAACTGTGCCTGGACGACAAAAAAGTTCCACGCGGGCGCGGGTTTTTTCTCGCCCACAGGAACATGGGAGCAACAAACACCCGGCCTTTTTTTACTTTACTAACATTTTGTTGGATCTTTGGACTTTGTATCCTTTTGGCTGACACTTGGTGCATTTCTCATTGGAAAAGGAAAAATCACTTGGTGCAAAGAGTTCAGCAACCAAGTGTAGAGGAACCTCCTTTTGGGGGACCCCAATTTGTTGGGTTCCATGCTAAGCTGTAGCTGCAACCTATGGGGTGGTTTGCGTTGCAGCTTTCCGGGTTCTGGGGCTGTTGGGAATGCCACCTGGGCCTCACCTGGGCTTTTTTTAATGTGTGCCACAATAGGGATTTGGACCTCCAGGGGGTTGGGTTAGGAATTTGGGAACCCACCCTCCCACTCACGTGGCCCTTCTTCAAGAGGAAATTGGATCTTCCAGGTACCCTCCCAAAGGCGCTATGTTTGTGGCAGCAAAAGTATGTATCAAAGAAGGTGGACCCCACGGAAATTAGAATTGCAACCCCCCAGACTCAAAATGCACATCTGGCTGTGCCGTCAAACATATGGCTTCGACATGGCGTCGGTGTTCCCTTTGGTGTCCCAGTTACCGGAAACAGGATAACGAGCCTCACAAACACGCACCCTTTTCAGGAAACACCCTTTGGTGAGGGTCTCCTCTATGATATCACAATGTTATAGTAGGCCAACTATATTAAACGCAATCTGAAAAAGCTATTTTTGGGCTACCCCAGCGGTGGCCCAAGCTAAGGGACATTGCCATGTCTGGTTGGTTTAGACGGGAAGCAACAAATATTTCGAGCTTGAGTCGTCAAGCCAGAACTAGAGTCAATCTTGACACGTTTTTGACTTATCGAAGTCAGACTGCTTGTGGGTTACGTTAATTGGGGCGTTTCCCTTTAACTTGCCACTTGTGGGTCACTTTTTGTGTAATAGAATCAGGCCCACCATTTTTTTGTCATTTGCTTTGAAGTGTTGTTACATACTGTGGATGGACGAAATCCATTTCGCACCACTTGGAAACCATGATTGAAACCAGTGTTTACTGGTATTTGTTTGAAGGAGTCCGAATTTAACACAAACCCTTCCTCCTTCCATTTTTTTGGTGGGGGGGGGAGGCGCTGGTTTGTTGCCATATGCCGGGCTTCTAAGGCTCAACCCCCACATTCACAACGCAAAAAGTAGGCCTTTCCCAGTTCTTCATCATGAAGCTGGTTCGTTTCACCAGGTCTCGCTCGAATTTCTTTGCCTTTGCTGGGTTCAAGCTCCAATCAGCGCGTTCCTGAAAGATAAAACCCCTCCTTCCAGGGTTGTGGGATCACTCGGGGTTTTACCCCACTTCTGTGGTACGTTCGGGAATCTCCCCCGTTATGTGGTGGGTGAGTCTTACGCCCTTATTGTTGCATCACAGAACTGGATTCCATTTCCCACAGCCCTGCCTTCCGTCGCTGGATATTTTTCAGGTCGGTGCCTTCTGGCGCAGGCCCGGCCAGTGGCAGCTTCGCACTGCTCGAGGCCTCTGCGCGCTACGTGGCGGTGGGCGAGCAGGAGGCGCGGGGTTTCTCGTGGACCCGGTGAAGCCCGGAAATCGCGGACGTCGGACAGGCCCCCACGCTGGATGTTCCATCGTTTCGGAATATGGTTGGATGTTCCCTTGTTGGTTTTAGAGGACATCTATCACTACTGGACGTATGTTTTTCTTTTCCGGGTGGCTTAAGCAAACGGATTTGTTGGGTGCAAGTCTGGTGAGCCAGAGAACTTGAAAGAGCATGTGGCATTTGGTTTTTGTTGTTTTGTTTCTCGGACAAAGTCCACTTTGCACATGGGTGAAACCCTACAAGTGGGATACACTACCGAAGTCCAACTGCAGTTTGTTGGATTTCTTCAAAGCGGTCGCCATTGACTTGTCCAAGGCCAGGCTTTCAAGCTTAACTTTGATTGTTGTCTTCGTTTGGTGGTGGCTGAAGTCAACTGCAAAACCCAAGAACTGGTCACTGCCGATAAACACACAACACCAAACCTCCAAAACCTCCAAGATCTGCAAAAAGCCACTGGCTGGTGTCTAGACTTCCAAAGCCACTAGTCCCTGCCGAAAACTCCCGAGCATAGGTGTCCTTTTTGGGTGGTTTTGCTCGAAAAAAGATAGATGGCGATTCCTGGTTTACCTGGTTGAATCATCTACCAGGGAAACCCATCGATTTCCCCTACACCAAACAACTCCTGAGGTTCTGATGCAGACGCCTGCAGTGACCATGACGGTGGATCGGGTGGATGAGCCTCAGACGCTCGGATCTTGAGATCTGACGCCTGACCCATCAACGGCTAAAATTCGCCCCTTGGTGAATCTTCTTTGGCGCATCTTGCCAAGGGATGTTTTGGACTTGAGCTTTTTGCCAGCGAAGAGGGGTTTTCCGCATGAAACTACTAACAGTTAGTCACTTTTAGCAGGGGAGCAGATTTCGCCACCGAGTTTTACAGGTGAGCCACAAGCGAAACCCGGGTAGGTTAACAAGGGATAGTCCCAACCATAAACGCATAAATGGGTGCAGCCGCCTTGGTAAGTCTTTACATGGTTTTGGGTTCACCATTTTGTTACCAGGGTTTGATTATGAGGTGGTTTGGTATCAGCTAGCACATGGACGCCCAATACATCACGGATTCCTTTGCATCCGTTAGTTTGGATAGAAATAGATGGCTTCCTCTGGTTTAGATTGGTTTTATTCCATGCACCAGGGCCATCTGTTTTCCAAGAAGGACATCTATCTATTTTCCAAAAAGGACACCTATGGCCCAATGCATGTCCCATTGATTGGACCGCACCCATTGGTTGTATGGTAGCTCCAACGTCCCTTTTGGAGCCTTCGGTATAGCCACTGGAGCTCAAAAACCCACTGCAGAGCTTTGGTTGACACCATAGCTTTGGCTGGGGAAAAGCCACATAGCATGCTGCACCCTCCAACCACTCCTTTTTGGACAGTACTTGGGATTTTGGTCAAGGGAAAAAGCCGTTGTTGCGATTAGAAGGGGGCGACGGGGGGGTGGTACTTCAAAACCTTCAAGTTAAGTCCAAATCACAAAGGGAAATGCTAGCAAGTATGTCGCCCCTCATACTGTGGATGGTTGCGAAATCCATTTCGCACCACCGAAGAAACCCTGGAATCATTCGATTCCCGTGCAAATGCCAACAAACAATGGTTTCCCATGGTGTTAGATTGGCATCCACCGTAGTACATCCTAAAACTAGCTTACACGCAACACTTGTGTTCTCACTTTAGTGAAATGCGAGTAAGAGGCGGATGTGTGCAAGCGAATTTCGGTCACCCGGCTTATTTGGACCCCTTTTGGCGGTTGATTTGCTGGCTGTTGGTTGCAAAGGGCTTGCCAAATAATTCCGAGAGGCTGCCTTCTTCTTGGATGTTGTTGGTCTTATAAACCTATAAGCCCAGCAAGCCCCAGTTGCAGACTTCAGACCAGCCTGAACCCGTGCTTGGTCCTAGGTGCTTCAGCAGGTTAATCAAGCCCGTAACCCGTAATTGGTTAGTTAGTTAGCTAGCTAGCTTTCTAGTTCGTTAGTTAGTTTGTTCGTTAGTTAGTTTGTTCGTTAGTTAGTTAGTTAGTTTGTTTGTTCGTTAGTTAGTTTGTTCGTTAGTTAGTTAGTTTGTTCGTTAGTTAGTTTGTTCGTTAGTTAGCTAGTTAGTTTGTTCGTTAGTTAGTTTGTTCGTTAGTTAGTTAGTTGGTTCGTTAGTTAGTTTGTTCGTTAGTTAGTTAGTTAGTTAGTTAGTTAGTTAGTTAGTTAGTTAGTTGACGTAAAACTTATATAACCCCCACACGAAACCCCTAGTTCTGTGTTACCCCGCACCAACAACGCTTCGCGGGCTGCGATCAAAGGCCTGAGCAAGAGCCGGACGCGGAGGTTGCAGACCAGCGCGAACGCTGGGAGGCGAAACCAAGAGGATGCGAGGAGTTGATCCGGATTGGCAGACTCCAGCACGGGGTCACTACTCCTTACTTGTATTTGTTGTCACTTGGGAAGCCAATGTTGGTCAGGGATGGTTGGGTTTGTTTATTATTGTTTCTATTATTAGTATTATTATTAGTATTGTTTATCATTATTATTATCATTGTTATTATCATTATTATCATCATTATTAGTATGATTATTATGTATATACTATTACTTATTATGTATTCTTGGTATTGTTGTTATTTTTATCAGTCTTATTTTTGTGTCCACCTAAAGCATGGTTTGAAACATCGCCTGCTTGGCCGGTTTATGGTGGGTTCCTTTGGTAGGGGTGAGGTTTTGAGGTTAGAGAATTAGGGAACCCCCAAACCGAATCGACCTGTTGACCTTTCAGTTTCCCCCGTTTGGTCAGCTGTTTGTCATAGCCACCAAACAACGGATTGCCTTGTATTTCCAGGTCCTTTGCGCAAGTGCCTCAAATAGGAGGACCCCACAAAAAGGGTGGTTTCCTGTTGGTTTCCTGTTTAAGCAAGCAACCTCAAGTCAAACACACACTGCTTTTATGCTGCCATCTTGCTCACTTGCCCAAACCAAATCCAAATAAACTGGCCTTTTGGTTTCAAACCTTTTTGGGTTCAACCATTTTGAGCCTGATTTGCTTCCTTTTGCTTCCCACTTCTTTGGTTCCCATTTGTTTGCTTTCCTTTTCGGCAACCCAAAAGGTGATCTCACCTTTCATTTCTGGGTCCCTAAACGGCTGCCATCTCCGCTTCACCCCTTGGAGGTGACCAGAGTCTTGGAGGAAGCTTCAAAGCAATCGGACGAGGGACACTTCGAGGCGACCGGGCGGCTGGACCTTGAAACAAGAGAACAACTACAAACTCAGGACTCTAAACTTTTTGAGTGTGGACCATTTTAGTGGGAAGCAAAAGTGTGGGTATTTTTTCGGGCCAATCCACTCAGGAAGTGACACTGCGAATTCGCTGGTTTGAGCTCCTTTGTATGGCCAACGGAACAATACTGTGGACGGTTGCGAGATCCTGAAATTGCACCGCCCTTCAGCAACCCTGGTGTTCCATTCCCAGGGTAACTCATTTCGTGGAGACCGCGACATGGATCTCGTGAACCAGATCCAAATCCTTGAGGCGGTTGGATCCAACGCTCTGAACCCTGGAGTAGCCTCTCCAATGGTCTTCGCATATGGAAGCACCCAAAATGGCTGCGCTCTTTTCGGGGTTCCCGAAATGCAAAGCCAACCGCAAAACGGGGGGTGCCCTAAAACAAAAGAGGCCCAAGTAATGTGGGTGACCCTAAATGGATTCTAACAAATGGGTTCTTGGGTGCTACATGGTGCTACACATTCGTAGCTGCCCTTTGGCGAAGGCTAGAGCCCGTTCCCGCGGCCCCCTGAGTAGCGCCCGGTGTCCCAAAAAGGGCCCCCTAGTTCTTCGGCCCCGTTCGTCTGGACGCCTTCAGTCAGCGGCCCAAAGTGCCAAAGGTTGATGCAGAGCATGCGAACAACGGCATGGTCACTCTGCATCAAAGAGGGTATTTGCTTGTTGACTTGCTGGCAGGGGGGGGGGGCAGGAAATTCGAAGGGAGAGAATACTGGCGGGAGGTGCCCTTTGTGTTTTGTGTACGTATTCAGTGCCAGAGTTGCTTGCCTGAGTTTGTGGTACCTGGCTGGCCACCTTACCTCATTTCCCAACTTCAGCGCACTGCTACCACCCCTGAAACGCTCCAAGCTTTGCTCTATGTTGAAAACTCCCCGACCGACAATTGGGGTCCAATTCATTTTGCAACCTTCTTTAGGGCATCGATCTTTCAGGGTTCAAGCCTGCAAAATCAGGTCAAGTGAATTACCCGGTTTGGATTGGCTGGAGGGAGTTGCACCCCTCGGGTAAATGTTGGAAACCACCTCCAAACCAATCCAACCACCACTCGGAGGGAGCTGACCCTCGGTGTCCATTCTAGGGGTTGATTCCAACCATTCTTTTCAACCACCGTTCTTTTCAAATACCGGATCTGTTTCCCTGGGTTTTTAAGCTGGTTTCCTGAAAAGATTCGGATCCCTGGGTTCAGACTGGACATGGAAGGTACCCCTACCATCTCCTGACCCCTAGAAAAAGGGCCCATTTGACCCCTTCATTTTGGATGCAATGACCCCCGTTTTTAAAGGGTGAGAAGGAGAGTCTAGGTGGATCCATGGCACTCCTTTTTGGTCCTAACCATGGCACTCCTTAGAACAAGTTTGTTTTTCCAGGGGTCATAACCAAATGGGAGAATCCACCACTTGGAGCTGACACTCGGTGTCCATGGCACTCCCTTTGATGCGGAGGCGGCTCAGCAGCTGCTTCGCAACAAGCGGCAGGCGCTGCCCAAGAACCGGCCCGTCACCGAGGTACGAAAGGGGCGGGGCGGGGGGTCGAGAGACGAGGTGGATTCGAGAAAACCTTCAAAATGGGCCTCGGGCCATTCTTTTGACTGGTTCTGATTATCAAAGTCAGAAAATGGGGCCGCTCTTGCGATCAGTCGGTCTTCCTCAATCAGGTGGTTGACACCTCCTGGCCATGCTATACATAGCTGGCTGGTGCATGGAAAACCCTCCCGTTTGCTCTCTCCTCGCGAACGCGCTGTAGCCGGGGCACTCTGGCCTAACGGTGAATGAGACGTCCCTTCAACAGTGTGAAGAGACGAGGGTTAGTTCGAGGGTCTGGACCCCCATCTCGAGGCTTTCTCAGGGGACATGCCTTCTCAATGCTTGGAACCGTTCTGAAGGGCGCTATACCCAGACATGAATTTTCTTGATGATTGCTTTCCCAGCCCCCCTTCCCTCACACGAAGGTTCCACGCACTGAGTACTCCTTCTCTTTTGGCGCTGCTTCGCAAGGCCCCTGGGACTGGAAAGGAACCCTGTTGTTTCCCTGTGGTCAAAAACCAGCTAGGATCATTAAGAAATCAACAAGGGGACCCGATCAGGCCGGCGCAGAACCGGCTGCGGGGGAACCGCCCGAAAAGAAAAAACAACTGAGAAGGCACGATACCCCGGGGAAAAGCCGACGTGTGCTTTTACTGTAAGGTGCCTCATTTTTGGCCATAGGCTTTTCCCAAAGTGGACAGTGCCTTTTCAACTTGTTTTTATAGTTTTTGTTTTCAGAAAAAAAGAATGAGCGAGCACGCAGAGGTTGGGGGAGCACGCAAACCCGGAGAAGGCCCGCAAAATCCGGAGAAGCCCGGAAAAACATCCGAGTCTGTTTTGTTTGGCGATGTGCGACGTGCAAATGCGCATCCATGGCTGCTGGTGCTGCCCGTGCTGCTGCCTGTGCTGCTGCCTGTGCTGCTGGTGATGCCTCTGATGCTGGTGATGCCTCTGAACTGGTGATGCCTAAAAGTATCTAGCCGGAGCCAAGGCTGACAAACAGACATGCCAACCCTTGACGAGGCATTCTTATCTGGGGGAACCCGCAAATCCAGAGGATACGTGTCCAAACTTCCGAATAGTACCTACCGTTGCAATTATCACCCAAAGAGCGAGAGGCCTTGCCTCCAGGAAAACAAGGTCATTGCACTACAAAGAGCTGACCTTGCAGCTAGCCCTTTCTGCACATGCCAGGGGGTCGGTGCAGAACCATCCCGCAAAGCCTTGTGCGGGCAGTTTGAACTCCCGAGGGAGGAAGCCAACCAGGAAGATCGACTTGATCAGAACAAACGGCCACGTCAGCATTTCCGCGATGTGTGAGCCTTGAGAACGCATTCCTTTGGGTTCCAAATGCTTTGCAATCCAACAGACTGCATCTACAGACAGCGAGGTGCGAGAGGATGAGGAACCCAAAATGAAGTGGGCCATGGAGAACATCTTCTCGACTGACAAAGTAAACCATTCCACAAACGGCAATGTACTACTGGAGAGCCCATTGGTTGTACAGGGCAACCAAAGTCTGGCCAAACGGGCGAAGCTCCACGAATCTGGGCCAAAGCCGGTACGCCCCACGCAAGCTCCTGGCCTTCCAATTGCGTCACAAGTCATAATACTTGTTATTTTCTCTGTTGGTTTTTGAGAATTTCATTACTGGACATACGCGTTTTTTTTCTTCCAGCGGGAGAAAAGCAAATGGAGGAATGGGTAAGGCGAAAGGGATGCGGAGGCCTGCAAGATTCCTGATGGTTCAAGTGGAGATGTCGAACCGGACCCTAAACCGCCCCTACGCCTAGCCGGGCGGTTTGAGCCTCAGCAGCTGGAACCTCCCGTTTACTCTTTTGCTCGGTTGCGTGTTCCCCCCTACTGTGGATGGGAAACCATTGTTTGTTGGTATTTATAAGGGAATCATCATTCCAGGGTTTCTTGGGTGGTGCAGGATTTCGTCCATCCACAGTATGTGTCTTTATCCTACGTGATGTGGGGGGTGTCCAGTATTTTCCATGACGCAACTCTAGCAGGACGGTTGGAATGACTCTTGTTTAGTGGAATCAACCAACCTGAAAGAGCCTCTGTCCTTTTCCAATCAGGATCGTCCCCCTACTTCAAAAGTCAATCCGCAAATGGGCTCCATTTCTTATTCCCGCAACCCGACTCAAAGCGGTCCAACCCAAAAAGCCAACTCTGGGTTAAACACTTTTCGCGATCCAAAAAGACCTATAGAGGGCTTTTTGGTAGCAGAGGGTCAGTGGGGTTTCCCCCTTTCCCAGCAAATAGCGTTTTTTGTAGCTATAGGGCTTTTTTGTAGCTTTTTTGTAGCTACCTCTGGGTTTCCCCCTTTCCCAGCAAACCATTTCCCCCCTTGAGCCATCCGTCACGAGCCTCCGGGGCTGCGGCTCGACGCCTGGACAGGCCTTGAGCCTGGAGCTGGAGGACGCAGAGCAGCGCATGGCCAACACGATGACTTGGAGCACCGGGGCACCTGGGCCAACTCGTTGCCTCGTTGCTTCGTGTTTGGGGCGCCAGGGGTGTGGGGTGGTTTTTCGCAGGCTTGGGGGGGGGCAGGATTTGGTCCTAGACATGTGGCTTTTTTTGTCCCTCACTGCCTGGGGGTCAGGGACTTTTTAGTCACTTTTTCTGGGCTTGGTCGCCATTTGAGTGGCATTCCCAAAAAGTTTGCGTACTTGTTTGGCCAGTCTACGCAGGAAGTGAGTTTTGGAACCTCAAGTGGCGAGCGTTTCAATGGAACCACCAGTCAATTGATCAACTGTTGAGTTGGGGAAATCTAGTGGCCCCTGACTGGACCCTTTTCCCTGAAAGCTACGGGGTGGATAGGCCCAGCTACGCTCCGGAGTAGTGCTGCCAGCTTTTCCAGGAGGGTTCCAGGGGTTTCTGTTGGGGATACCACTTGAGCCTATTTGAGGCGAGGGGTACCTTTTTCGGGGTGGCGTCAAGGAAAATCCCGAGGTAACCAGTAGTTTTGTTGGTTTCTGTTGTTGGGTGGTTTCTTTGACGGGAAATTCCCGCGGACGCCGGAATATCAATTCTTGGGGGTCCAGTTTGAGGCAACCCCCAAATTCTGGTGCGCTTTGGACACCCAGAAGTTGTTTGTTGTTGTTGTCTTTTGCGGTGGTTTCAAGGTTGAAACTCCAGCGGACGCCAATAAAATATTGAGCACCTCGGAGTGGCACCTCGGCTGAAAAGACGAGCCCGGATCCGGCGGGGAAAAGATCCGCGCTTTGCCAGGCACATGAGGTGAAGGATGCCACGGTGATGCACCAGGCGGATCGGATCCGACCCGAACGAGGGTATGCCCACAAGCATCCCGACGACATGACGAATCCCTTAACCCCCCCCCAAAAAAATAAAAAATTAAAAAAAAAAAACAATACAAAACAGAAAACAAAGTCACAAAACATAAAGGAGAAGCAAGAAATAATAAATAACTAAATCAAGAGGTAATAAAAAGCGCCTCGAATGAAACAACATGTGTCAACAGAGAATAGCTTTACTTTGAACAGTCCCACCTAAGCGGCGGTGTTTAATCAGATGAAAGGGTTTTTGCCCAGCAGGGAACTGTACGTACTTTGCGGAGGCAATCCGGGGCGCAGGCTCGCGTAAGTTTCTGCACGTAGGCTGTTGCGTCACTCCTTGCGTAGGCTTCTCGAGTAGGATGTTTTGTTGAATGAAGTATGATTCAATGCTGTTGGCCAAGTATGAAGGAGTTTGCTTCGTGTGCCTTCGTTGTGTTTAACGAACTTGCACTGAAAAGTCGCGATTGTCCAGCTGGAGCTGAACTGCTGCCGTGGTAGGCGTCTCGGTCGTCACCCATGTGCTCGCGTAGGCGTCCACATACGTGCACCGAACCCCCCAAAAAAAGCTCGCCTAAGCAAACTGCTTGACTAAGCTAGGCTGCAACCACATAGGCACCAAAAGCTTAATCCGACTGCGTGCGGGCCTCAACTATGATGCTGGCTGATGTCACTCAGTCGAACCAAGATGGAAGCAAGCAACCCTGACCCTACCAAAAGGCAGCTTTCGCTGTTGCCAAACTCTCGCTTCCTGCTTGGTTGGGATTCCCTTCCAGGGTGCTCTGATTCTTCGACCTGGCACAGTTCAAAGGTTGCTCTCCTGTGTCGGCGTTCTCCTCTTCGGTGCTTCATCAATGGGTTGTCACAGGCTCTGTGTAAGCTGTCTGTCGGAGTCGCCGGCGGGCGGGCAGCGGGCGGCGGTTGCTGAATTGCCGGGCGGCGAGCGGGGCTAACAGCCCCAACCCTGTCGGATGGGGAGAGACATGTGTGGTTCAGCGGCTCATGATCAAACTAGCTTTGGTTCAAACACAAGTATTTGTGCACCGGTACGGCGCAAGAACACGTCGAGGATGCAATTTTCCAGTAAGGGGTTTTGGTGACTCAGACTCCTCTTTTTTTCTGTTTGTCTTCATGTTGAGGTGTGGGACTTGCGGACATTGGGTGGGTGTCCGGGCTACAATGGGGCTGGAGTTGATTCATCATGGTTTGTAAAAAATCAGTATTCCCTTATCTGTTTTATTCGAGGCTTCTCAATTTTCATGTTCTTGCTATCAGAATCAGTAGGGGAACGTGTATTCTTAGGAAGAAGTGATTGGAAAGAGACCTTACAAGCAATGCGCCAAAAGACTAGTTCACACATCCTGAAAAAGCATCCCCAAAGAATTCCCCACAAACATCCCGAGGACAAGCCCGTACACCTCCCCAGAACCAACGACGGAGCGGTCTCCTCCAAAACTAGTTTGTATCTTGGGGTTGGCTACATAGCAGTTAGGATCTGAAACTCTGATTTCTGCACGCCACACCCTAGTATCGCCGTTGTGCAATCTTTTGGCTCGCCAGATGCAGCGATGTACCAACATGTTCGACAACAAGTCCGGGATCGCCACTTGGATGCGGTGCTTTTTGGGAGGACTGTACGTTGTCAGTATTCAGTATTCTTGACTTTCGGATTGACCACCAGGAGCCTACTCGTCAGAGGACCCTACTTTAGTAGGTCATGTCCTTACTCAGAAGGAGACCACCCCTGATTAGTAGTCCTCCGGATGAACCCGAAGTTAACATTTATGTTGACCCAGGACATCTGTAGTTAAGGCAGTCAACACCCTGCACATCTGTAAGGCAGTCAGCCGAAAGCATTGGCAGGAGCGCAGGGAATTAATATCAGGTGTTATGTTTGTTGTTGTTTTCTGGGGAACATGTTAATTACACGAGCGTGAGGCAGTTGGCGATTCTTCTGAGTTGAACACGTGCTAGAAAGATCACCCCTTGCGCGCTTGCCACGTGTTTACATTTTGCTTTTCGGGTTCCACTTGCAAAAGCTGACACGGACCTAATATGTTCCAAGACCAAATTTCATTGGCCCTCTTTTTGGGAGTGCCCCAAACTGCGTCAGCAACAAGAACCGTTGGGCCCCCCTCATAGCCGCCCTTTCGGCCCTCTTTTCGTTTGGCCCCCTTAAGAACGGGAAAATCGTTTGGCGCTTCAGGCGACGGGGGGAAAGGGAGCCCTGGGAATCACGGGGCCAACCTTCCATTGCTGAAATGAGTATGTGTTTGATTGGCCCTTTATTGGCTGTAAAGGGAATCTATCACTACTGGAAATATGTTCTTTGGTGCATTGTGCTTGGATGTTAGGACTTTAACTTTTTGCCAACTAATGGGTGTTCCATTAAACCACTAAAAGTTAGTCACTTTTAGCAGGGCTTCGCAGAAAGCAACCGAGTGTCTATGTTTGTTTTTCTAGGGGGTTGCAGAAATTGAAAGGATTAGGCTGTTCCCCTTGAATCCCTTTCAACTTTGAAGCAAGCTCGCTGGTCCGCGGGTTAAACTCGGCGTTTCTCCACCAGCCCAGGTTTCCTCCCCTTCCCCTACCCTTTCCCCCCCCGTCCGTTTTTCTTTCCCTTGTCGCCCAAGGTTTGACCTTCTCGGTTTTTGGGTTGACCCCACCAAAACATGAATCCACCTAAGTCCACCAACAAAATGGGCTCCAAATCTTCTGGGAGAAGCTTCCCCATTCTTTGCAGGATTGCTTCTTTTGAAATAACCATCAATCACCCAAAGCAACTGTTGTTTGAAGAAAAGAACGATAGTTGAACAGAACCCCCCCCCCCAAGCATGGAATACACCGAATCCAATAAAAACAAATCGGCTCCGAATCAAACCCTAGATTTTTTCTAGGTTCCCCAGTAGTGCCGTTTTACCCTTTTCTTGGGGAGGGTTCCCCTACTAAAATAGACTACAGGAAAACGGTACCCTTATTCTATCCTCTCTACTGGAGGACCTAGTCTTTTGTCGCCTTTCAGGCGAAGAAGTCCAAAGGTTTGTACGCCCGCACCACCCAGCGGGAGTGGATCTCCAAAACCGCGCCCTCGGGCGCCGCCTCTTCCTCGGCGCCCTAGTGCGGAGCGACCAGCGGATGCCAGCGGGATGTGTGAAACCAGGGGAATGGATGTCCATCAGGTGCTGGAGCAGCGTTCCACTGGTTTGGTTGGGTCAAATGGGGGTCTACGTTGCCGCAACCGATACCAAGGGAAACACGGTGCTTGGAATCTTCCTCAAAATGATGTGCATGGAAAGATGCATTTGGATTGGGGAGTGCCTTGAGCCAGGAACCGTTAGCTTTTTGCAGAGCGTTTTTTGCCGGGTTTCCTTTTGACCTGGTATCGATGGGCCAGCCCTTGCACCCGCTCTCGTTGGTATGTTGTTTTTTGTTCTGAAAAGGTGTTTTTGTTTGTTTAAAAGAAAGTAGACACACACACACACACCCTGCTATTTAATTGGGCGGACGTGACGCGTCGCACCCAGACCCCAGCTCACACCACCTGGATGAAGTGATACTGTAATTTTCGCTGAACGCTAAAGAAAGCACCGGGTGCAAAATCGCACATTATGCTTGAATCCCCCCAAAAGGAAGCCAAAAGATGATGGATGGATAGTCCTTTAGTTTGTCCAGACCCCCCTTTGTTGGGCACAGACACAGATAGGTACACACAAGAGGTTGTCCTTGTTGGTCGTTTTGGAGTAGATGGTGTGGGTTTCCGTTGGCTTCTGATCATTGGCCGGTGCCATCTATTGCATTGACTGAAGAGCAACAAGCAGGCACTCCAGGATCACTACATCAGCTCGACACGTTGTAATGGCACACCCAACAGCAGAAGGCAGGCTTTGTGTGTTTCTGTGTGGCCCTTGCAGTGTTAATGCTGTTTCGGGAATACATGTCCTCGACCAGTCTTTACCCTATTGCATTCTGCGAAAGCCATTCTGACCGAACAAGCACGCACGTGTAAACATGTCCGCAATGTTAGAAGCTTCACCGTTTGTTTGCGGGCGCCAAACCCTTGGCAATGTGTGGAAGGGATATGCCGCAAACAATAGACCCTTTCCCATTTGCACAAAAACTCACCAATAGGGTTGTTCCCTCGCAAGATTGCTACTGGTTTCCTCCATCTTGCAAGAATAAAGCAAGGGACACCGTGCCACATGCCAAGTGGCAGTGGTGGATGGCTTGGTTACGCTCAATATTTCGGGAATCAGCGTGTTGGCTCCTTTTTGACTTGGCCCCAAATCGATTGAAGGGTACTTAAAGGAAAGCCGACCACTTTTGATCAACTTCCCTCATATTGACACGAGTACCCTCAAAGGACACACCCATATCCATTGAACTCTTTGCTCGAATCCCGGCGGTGTGACCACCTTGAAAGCCGAGCCTATGCCGTTTACGTCGATCAAACCGACGACGTTTCCGTTGAGCGCGCCTTCTGCAGTTGTACAGCTTCTGCCTTTAGAAGGCCAGCTGCAAAAAGCATGCGGACGGCGCGGCAGGAAGAATCGAGTCGAGGGAAAACTAGTTGGCTGCCATTTGCTTAAGAATATGTTTTATTCTCCCCCCCTGTTGGTTTTCAAGGGAACCTATCACTACTAGAAGAATGTTTTTGTTGTTTTTTTGTTTTTGTTTTTTTGCAAGGGGGCTTAAGCAAATGGAAGTTGGTCTATGTTGCCATGGGAACCAAAGAAAGCCAATTGCAGGGCTGTCAGTTTCCACCTTCGGGTTTCTTGGGGAAGGTTCCGACCCAAACCCGTGGGGCAGCCTTTGCCTTGTTTGGGTACTTCTCCTTAGGGGGTCTTCAACTAGCGGCAATGCATCAAGGAGGGTCCACTTGGAGATGTTGGCCAGACATGGCAGCAGGGTGCTTAATCATTGCCTTGTCACACCATGCGACGTGTAAAGGCCACCTTTCTGTATGGGTCATCCTTGCCCACGTGTTTGAGGGACTTCAATACACGAAACCATTTAACGTAAGTGTCAAAGGTTCCGTGACAGAACCTCATAGTTTCTGGTTGGTTTGCTGGATTCCCACTGCGATTTTTGAATAGGCACGCTGCAGGTCTGTTTGCCTCGCGCGTCGGGCACGTTGGGTTTGGCCGCTCCCTTCAGGCCAACGAGGTTTCTGAATGATTTGTTTGATCTTTTTCGGCTGACCCTTCGAGCCATCGACCGATGCCATTGGTGGAAAGCTGCTTGGTTGTGGGTCTTTTGATGGTTGTCCCTGTCAAAGAGTCGAAGCGCTGCGTCTCAGTGCCCGAACGCTACTATCCTAGTAAATGTCAAGGAATAGGACTTGGCGAGGGGAGGCTGAACCTGTGTGACAGATCTGGCACCGTTGCGGTACTGGGCATCCCGTTGTAACCCCCTGGTTATTCAAAGGGGCGTCTGCCTTTTGGCTCGGATGTCTTTACGCTTCCAGCTCTTTCCGTTGAAGCACTTCTACAAATCCGTTCTGGGCGTTCTTTGCCTGGATTGCAACACTAGCCCTAGAGCTCCAGTGGTGCCTTGTCTTAGGAGGGCTTCTCACCTGTCCAAAGCGAATCAACCTGTTGACCTTTTGGTTTCCCCTTGTGGCAACCATTTTTCCTGAAGGTCACAAAAGGTTCACCTTATGTTTCTTGTTGCTTTGGACATCTGAGTTAAAGGAGTTGCTTTGCCATATTGGGAGGGGTACTTTGACCAAGCGCCCAAATGTCCACTTAGTTCCAGGTCCAAACTGGGCAAGTGAGGCTTTCCTTTAAACCAACAGAAACCCAAAAAAGGAGAGACTCACTTCCCGGGTTGTGGGTGAAAAATCGGGTAACGGGTTGTGAGGCTTCCCGAAAATCGGATAACGGGTTGGGTTTGGGGTTCCCGACTTCCTTGGTTGTGGGGGAAAAATCGAGAAACCCCAAAATGGAGAAGCCCCGGTGAACGGAAAAGTGAGGCTTCCCCCTCCTTTCGCGGTGCTTTCCACCGTACCGAGGGAAGGCGTGAAGAAGAAGCTGCCCTTACAGACGCCGACGCGCCCAGAGAGAGAGAGAGAGAGAGAGAAAGACAGAGAGAGAGAGAGAGTTGCGTGCCCCCCGTTTGCAATTTGAGTAGGTGGTTCTACTTCCTGGGTTCATAGTGGATATTGCAATCCCACAACCTTATATATGTATGTAATGTATAAACGTCATATCCATCTTGGTAGAATTGGTTTTGGGCTGAACACATGATTCTGCGTACGGCGAGCGATTCCACCGATTCAGGGATAAAACGAGCGAAAGCTGTGTAGGTTCTTTTGCATGCATATTGGGTTCCAATTCTCAATTCAGGTTTTGGATTTGAGTGTAAACAATGCAGGTGATCGCAGTCGAACAGCTCATAAGACAAGAGTTTGTCAACAAAGTGAGCTTGGTGTGTCTGTGTA